AGCAAAGGGAGATGAAAAAGGTTGCTAATTAGAGAAAAATCTTTGACAGGCTCGGCGCCCGACATCTCCGGTCAGGGCATCGTCAACCCGCTCGGCACCATCCTCTCCGTCGCCATGATGCTGCGCTACTCGCTCAACCTCCCCGACGAGGCCAAGGCCGTGGAAGATGCCGTCAAGGTGGCGATTGACGGCGGCCTGCGCTCAAAAGATATGGGTGGCAGCGCCGGCACTGTAGCTGTCGGCGACGAGGTCGTCAAGCAGCTGACCAAGATTTTGCAGGGTTGAGTGTCAGAGCAGAGTGGAAGAAAAGGTAACGGAAGGTTCTTTCGAAGCATTTAACGTGCAGATGACGACAACAAGAGCAAAGTTGCCATCGGCAGAGTAGACTTTCAGACTTACGATACGACATAGAAATGCGATAGTACACGATTCTCGCTGATGGCAAACAATCAAAAATAGCTCTTGGGAAAAGAGCGGATTTCATCCATGGCTATTTCATCCAAACCCACAACCAGTGCCCAACCGCTTGCAAATTTGCCCTCGTAAATCCCCAGTCCGGTAGATCCAGCCGTCCGCGGCGTTTCTCGCTCGCCGCCTGTACAGTGTTGCTTAAATCGTCGGATCGTTCCGGGCCCCAGTTCGAAATGCGGAACCCATGTTTCCGAAATTTGTAACCAATGACGAGCAAGATGTAAACGGGAATCTATACACCATTAGCTGAGCGCTGGACAAGAGACGAATGGCGGGCAAATCATACACCGACATACGCAGAGACGAACTTGCGGACGTTGAATGGCCTTTCGAGAATCGCAGGGACGCCGTTGAATAAGAGCAGAATGCAGCTCCCAGCAAAACCGTAGAACGCCTTGAGCCACTGGCCGTGAGACTTGTATGGGTAGAGAGGACTGTCTCGGTCGTAGCTGGCTGCTTGTGCGGCGGACATGTCTTCGCTCATCTTGGCGACCTCGAGTCTGCAAGAGATATTGATTAATAACAAAAATTGAGAGGGAGAAGAGCATGCCGCACGTTTTGTAGAATCGCATGTAAGTAGCACAGATGGTCGCGTATACGATCAAGCAAGACACCGTGCAATTGTTGGACAGTTCGTCCAGGCGCTGAAAACTTAGCAAAACAGTTCATTAAGTCTTCTTCTCAATACTTACAGAGCCGGGGGAACCAGATCTACCCATATAAGCTATCAGCATCAGCATGGCCGTCGCAATCACGGCTCGGATCGGCACACCAGAGCGGCACGCACGCAGCCGTCTCGTGATGAACTCAGGCCCTGTCTGACCGCGGAGCGCCAGTGTATGCAGCACGCGGGAGGCCACGTAGAGCGAGTTGATTGCGCAGGTAAACGCCGACACGGTAAACATGGCGTTGAAAAACTCGGCGAGCGCCGGCAGACCGGCCTCGACAGCGGCGATGATAAAGATGGAGCGCGAGCCGACAGAAGTTCCGGCACCGTTTATGAAGGCGTGATCGTGGGGGACAACAAAAGACGCGGTGGTGACGGCGAGCGCGTAAAGAGTTATCATGCGAATGTTGATCTTTCGGGCCGCCATCTTCATGCTTTCCGAATCCGCGAGGGCGCGACTTTCGGCGGCGGTGGCGGCGACAATATCCATGCCCATGTACGAGAACATAGCGTTGATGAATGTGGTCCTAAATATCTTAGAAAAGTTTTGCTGCCTCGAGAAAGATATAAGAACTTACCATACGGCTAGCAGGGAGCCGACTGAGCCTGTGATCTTTCGTTGTACATTCCCATCGTCATCTGTGACATGATACACGTCGCTGAAGAAGCCGTAGGGTTTATTCCAGTCTGATATAGTCAATAATGGACTACACGAGTACTAGTATTCAAGGAACTTACATTTCGTGCCAAGCGGCTTGCTATAATAAGCTCCGGGTCGGGCTTGAACGAATCAGCGACGTGAAAATATTAGAACAAGGGAACTCACGATTCATGACGTCAAGTATCAGCATTGTCACAATCAAGAGAACAATCAGCACCATTTTTATACATCCAAAGATGTACTCGAGCTCGCCATATATCTACTAGCCAGTTAGCAGCGGTTCGTCTCAAGCATTATGACACTTACGATGACGGGGAGCAAGTTGATAATGACAATGACAAATAAGCAAAGGCTGATCCAAATAGCACTATCAACATTCTCGCCAGTGTACCAATGGATTATTGTTTTGCCGCCAAAGCCTGTATCGTCATAGCTGAACCGCACTGAGTTTGCAAAAGCCACGACTTGGCTCGCCGCGAGGACAGCATATGCAAACCTGACAGATTAGCTGGCGAGCCGCGTTCCACTACGGCTCACTTACCAGTATACCCAACCAACGGCGAAGCCGACTCCCCGGTCAAGGAATCGACGCGGAAACTCCATCATCGGGGCATTGACAGGCATTAGGGCTGTCATCTCACCCAGGCAGGAGATGATGGAAGCAATGACTGTGCCGACGATGAGGTAGCTCATGACAGCACCGCCTGGGCCTGCACTCGCTATGGAGATGCCGCTCCCAAGGAAAAGACCTACGCGTCCACATCAATGAGTAAACTTGCATCCCGATTCCGTAGGGGCTTACCATTGCCAATGGATCTAGAGATTAACCTAGCATTAGTGAATCGAACATGCGCAGCCGAGCAGCTGACGTACCCTGAGAACGCAATCATCTGAAGGATTAGTAAAATGCTAAAAATCTACAGAATAGTCATACATTTATGTTCCTCTCGCTCAGGACTCGCCTATTGTAACACGTCGACTATTTAGCTTCATTTATGCCACAAAGCGTATCTCGAGTATCTTGACGGTTAGAGGCCGTACCAGAGACTGTCGCCGCTGCACTTCATCTTTTCGGACGTGGGCGTTGTGTCCTCGAACCCCACATCTTGACCAGACTCAATGATGTGAATATCATGACCGTTGTAGTGCATGGTGCGAGATTGCTGCGAGCCGTCCAAGGGCAGTGTAGCATCGGCCAAGTGCTAAAAAGGGTACAGCTGCCGTGGTGGGCAAGCCGACGCAGCGCTAATAATAAGAAGCCTGATGGAAAGGATATCTGTAGCTTGCGAATGGCGAAGGTGTACGTGAAGGCTGGCTCCCTGTAGACAACTCCTCATAGATGGCGCTTCGGGGTTGAGCCAAAAATCGACGCTGAGATGGCCCTACGATCGGCGAGCTCAGGCGGCAAGGCAAACAGCCTTGATGAGGGTCGAAGGCGCCCAACAAGGAGCAATCTTGTGATGAACGCTCGGCGGTGACAGGGTCGGGGCCATGTGTGAGTAGAATTGCTACTAGATTCGAATTAGCGTTGGTCATCTGTGTGACCATCATTACCTGATGAGAAACTCCCTCCACCCAGCTGAAAAAATTCCAATAGAACGAGGACCGTTTCTTGCAGTTGTGCGGATGGCAATAATAAGGCATTGCATGGTGGCTGAAAAGATTGGGCAATGAGACCGAGACAAGCATATCGGTGCCAACTTAATCTATGCTGCAGCCAGTCAGTGCTCGGGGAGAACACGAGACTCCCGTCCGACTGTGGTAGGCTGCAGGCAGCATTGGTAGCGCAGCATGGGCCCATGAGCAGCTTCCTTTTTCAACTTGGCTGCATCAACATGCATCAGAATGACTGCGACGCGTGGAGACTGGACACAGCCTCCCCCGAAAGTGCCAAAGTGCTCACGGTGCCCTTGACTGTTCGATGGAGCTTGGTGCATCAAGAATTACGGTGGGCACCGGCTTAGTGGAGGAACGGTATGAGTGAAGTTTGATGAAGAAAAGGCGGCGTCGAGCCTTGCTGCGTGTCGCAGCAGTAGCATACTGTATTGTGTGTTCGGTGAAGCTGGACCCCTCATAGACGATGGCACACCACTACTCTTCCAGGGAGGGTTCAACTGCGCGTACGACAAGAAAAGAGGGGTAGAGCTGTCTGTCGCTCCAGAGCGGATGGATTGTTATTGCGCTGCCGATGAAGAATGATGCTGCCTCTTCCGTCACCGTCACAGTCAACAGTGATTTGCAAGGCTGAAGCTGACAGGACGAGTCGATGCTCGAGATTTATTAGTACTGCAGTGCGGGTTGTCCACTGAGTTGAGCTTGTCGAGTCCACCAAGCCCACTGAAATCGGCAGAAAACCCGCCTAGAGCCCCTCAAATCCCCGCCCCCAGACTCCCCGGCGGTCGCTGCAGGCACCGCCCCCAACGCTCGCCCGAGAGCCGTTTGCCCCCCGTTTGTCCCCCGTTTGTACAGCCCGCGCCACCAGAATCACCATCTCTGCTGGACCAGGCGAGGGCAAGACGGTTTCAATGCATGTGAGAATTTCTTTGGGCGCTCTGTTCTTCAACTCGAGAAAACTCGAGACAGTCATCGTCTGCAGCCATGTCATCGTCTATGCCATCGTCCATGCCATCGCCATGCTTTACCCGACGCACTGTCATCTGGAAGCAGCTTGCGCTTCGCAGTGATGTAGATGACATCATTCTTGAGCTTTTGGGACAATTCTCTCTCGAGAAACTGTACCTTTCGGCTGGAGAAAAGACAAGATATCAGACTGTCATGATCAATCTCTTGGTCCAACTCGATGCTATCTTCTACATCCAGCGTCTTACAATACCATCTCGCCAACTGCAACCTGGCCTATTTCTAGGCTTTCTTGTCAGCTGGGAGGTTGCTGCGCGCACCGTCGAATTAATCCTTCAGACTATTGTCGAAGGACGTGATAATCTCTGGGAAGCCACAGCCTTGCGAGACGAATATCTCGCCGAGTTTCTGCTCGGCGCCCTTCGCGTCCTTCAGCTCCATCCCCGATCACCGCCTTTACAGCGTCCAAAGGATCGTCGTGCCAGATTTGCCAGGATTCATCGACTATTAGAACAGATATTCGACGCCTACCCCGGCCAAAAGTCATTCCTACTCACAGTGTGCAAGGAGATTACCCAACGTCTCCATGAGGATGCCAGCTCATTGTCTCTACCACCAAAAATGCAGCAGGCTGCCCCGAACTTGACTACCGAGATGGTTCGTACGAAGCCCAAATATCAAAGTGAGTAGTTTTCTAATTGATTTAGTATCCACTCACTGCATGTCTACTGCCGCCATACATACTGGAGCTGGTTCCAGCCGACACTCCTTCACCCAGCTGGATATCGCAGTTCCTCGCACTGCGGGACATCGCCCAGTATATAATAGGCGCGTCCTTACAGTACTCTGCCAAATCCGAGACATGCGATGAGCAGCTGTTTCGACATTCACTGGCCTCTCGAAACGCCATTTTCGCGGCTCTGCAAAATCTACAAATACCGAGCCAGTTCTCAAAAGTCGACGTCGTGGCATCCTTCAACGCTTACTTCCGCTTGATTCTATGGCACACACCAGATCTGGCGCATTCTAGCCTCAATGAGTGCAGCAGAGGCGAATATGTACCCGACGCGCTGGACGAACTAACAGAAAGGTTGACGCAGCGGCGAGCTATCCAGCGCTCAAGCGATAGAGAGATGACCTTGAACATCTCCAAGATTACCAGAAGCATACAAATTCAAGACGACCCGGAAGGAAGCTACATAACATCACAAAGCCCTTCGCAATACGTGCTCAATTGTCCAAGTAGCCATACAGTCGGAGGGTCACAGTTGAGGGCGACTGGAGTTACTACTACCGTACGTATCAGTCGGAGCTACGCTGGACCGAGACTGACTCCTTGCTAGCTCGATTCGACTCCTCTGAATGAGGTCAAATTACCGGAGCAAGCCACATGTATAAAGTGCGATGAACGTGTCACTGTCGCACGCGAACTTCCTCTAGCAAGAAAGGCTTGGGAGCTGTTAAGCCCACTTCAGGTTCCTGCTGATTCCGTCAACGCCGAGCGGCACATGTCGAACAGTTTCCAGCTGAGCTCTCCTGATACTGAGCCTCACGACATATATAGTTACAGCACTTTTACAGCGGGCCTCGGTGGACATCTTCCGACAACCCTCGACTCGAGCATGATGCCAGCACGACCACAGTCCATGACGAAAGATACTGCGCCCTCAATCATGGATCTGTCGAGCAACAATTCTTTAGGGCCTTCATATTCCATTTCTAAAAAGAAGAACTCGCTTCTTGCTCACATCAGTCCCTGGATCACTGCGGAACCGCCAAAACGAGACACGTCGCCTGAAATTGACCCAGGCAGCAGCTACTCGCAGCAAGGCAACAGCTCAGTGGCAGAGTTGTCGTATTTCTCAATAGACACCATGCAATCTCACAAACCCAGCAATACGGAGCCATCGATCACATCTCCTGCTGCTACAAGATCACCACCCGGCCCCGACAAAGCGCGTCAACGATGGAGAGTACCCATTCCATTCGCTTCAGCAAAACGACCATTACCCACAGTTTCGGGAGATTCGAGCTCATTCTCGTCGAATCCAATCGATGAACAGCCTATGGAGGAAATTCCACTCAAAGGACTAGTGGGCTCGGGATTGAAACCTTCTACCAAAACCAAGGCTGCCGCGAGCATACACGTCGCACTGTCGCAAAATTCGTCGTATGGGCTACTATGGAGTCAGTTCATGATTCACGTCTGGGATCTCAGCACAACACCGCCTAGTCAAATTCGAACTATCCCAACAGAAAGTACATGTATTTTGGCGACGGTTGGCAAACGCCATGCTGCATACGTGATTGGCAGCCGTGAGCTAAAGCTAACAGTGAGTGCTCATGCCACTGTAAGCTTTGTAGTTGACTAACATGACAGCAGCTTCGCATAATGGATCTAACCCAAACCATGCCAACAGTCACCGAATACAGAGTGCCATCAATTCCATGGTGCAAAAGTATTGCAATCGATCGACAGGAGAACTATGTTGTGGTAGGGTTCGAAAATTCTCTAGTTCGATTTTTCAAAACTGCAAAGTCGGAACAGCCACGAGAAGATCACCTGCTTTCCACGCTTCACAGCACGGGCAAAAATCTTGCGTCAGTCGATACGCTTGCCTTTTCGCAAGACGGCCTCAGCCTCTTGGCGAGCACACGCAGTACCAAGGGCGTCGTGCAGATATACCTATGGCGCTTTCCATTCGACAATTTCGAAGAGCTCACTGGATGCCGGTACCCTGTGCCCATGCACGAGTCGGAAGACAATGGCATATCGTCAGTAGTAATGCGATCGCAACAAGGCGCTGAGGAGGGTTTGATATGCGTCACGACATGGACCCAGTCTGGAACACCGGTCTTTATCCAACAAAACGATGGGAATCGGACAGAGATCAAAGCGGCACCAGGTGCCACGCATGGAAAGCTTGGCAATCGAATCAGATGTGCAACATTTTCTGCCTCGGGTAGAGAATTGGCCCTGGTCAATGACAAAGGCCACCTTTACCTTGCATCGAATCTCAACTCCAAGCCAATCGAAGTTCGCCGTAGAGCAACTTCGCGAGAGCTGACCTCAAAAGGCTGTGCGCTGGCCTTATCTTTTATGGATATAGACTCTGAAGAAATGGCTGTGGTACTATGGGTTGATCCATCCCGCGGCAAGGCTTTTATGAGGAAAACTCTAGTGGGTAGAAGAGTGAGTCAATACTAATTTTGAAATGACACTGTCGATGAGTGAATTTGACCCGTTATCAGTCAAGCAATAACATATTGGAGACCAATGGACCGGTGTATATCTCGTCATCCTCTCAGAGAGGTGCTCGCACAGGAATTCCAACCCCTCGATCAGAGATACCTGATACGCAAGCCTCGCTCGCTGAGCCGCATTCACGGGCGAGCAGAGAAAGATCAAAAGGCGCTCCTAGGAAACAGTTGAAGCTTTTGGAATAACTTGATTGCGCGGCTGGTATGATTTTTGGGTATGTAGCTGGTGTTTAGAGAAATTTTGAAGAGATGCAAGGAATGGGGGATCTGCCGTAGCGGGCATAGTATCACGGCGCGAAGTTCCATCTATCAAAAATGCATTGTACGTATGATGGCGCTCACGACTTTGTGGCATGGATCAATGACGAATGACCATGTTTGATAAGTTTTCGTATGTACGATGCTGTGGTAATTATATACAATGGTCAGGATTGCCTGCCGGGTTCCCCCACCACGTCGGAAACGGGTGCGACTGGCCGCTTGCACCAAACACGGCAAAGGATAGGATGAAGATGACAATCTGCGAGCCACCATCCAGCGCCGCGCCAATGAGGTAATTGTACTCGTTGTAGATGCGTGGATAGCGGCGACGAAGCCACAGCTGCGAAAAAGCACCCACGGCAAACGAAGACCACAGCCAGGACGTGTTGCCAAAGTACGTCGAGCCCATGTACTGCAGAATAAATGTCGTGTTAATCGGCCACTTGCGAATGCGCGGGTACGCCCTACAAAGCGACCAGTGCAATACAGGAAACACGGCGCCGATGAGGAGACCCAGCGGGACGATGAAGTAGCGGCCATGCCGGCCATACATTTCCGTTGCCAGTGCCCAGGTAATGGCCTGGGCATTCAGGCTCTGCATGGTGGAGCCGCTCCAGACGTTTGTGCCGAGAGGATCGAGGAGGACCTCTCGCTGAGAGGTGACGATGGAGGTCATGACGGCGTAGTTGAGGCCGGCGCCGAGCAGTGTGCCGTAGATTTGCGTAAAGAACATGACGCGGTGCGGCACCTTTGTGTACTGGCCGACCTTGAGCCAGTTGGAGAGGTTCACGGCGAGCAGGATAACCTGGTGCGACCAGCTCGCAAAGTAGAGGTTGGCGAGGGGCCGGCCAGGGTGCACGGCGCCGGCAACCATTTTGGAGATTTGGTTGGTGCCGATGCCCGTGCCGTAAAGGCCATAGAGGATGCAGGAAAAGGGCGCGATGACGGCGCCGAGAAGCAGCGAGATGATGTAGCCCCAGACGGGCAGCGTGGTGTCGCCCTTGATGTTGACGACGAGCCCGGCGATGAAGGTGAGGGCGAAGAGGAAGAGGTACCACCACACGGGCACCTCCTTGTACTTGAGCATCTTTTGATAGTGAATGTCGGGCTGCGTGCGTGCGCGGGCCTGCTTCCACGCCTGAATCATGCCCTTGCCGTAAAAGAGGATGACGTGCGTGATGAGGGCGCCCATGGCGAGGCTGGACGTCAGGTAGCCCCAGACGGTCGTGGACGTGAGCTGCGGCACGCCGACGCGGGCGAGCTTGTCGTAGTCGATGGTGCCGTGGTCGTTGAGGACCGACGTGATGACGAAGCGCGTGCCGTTGCTGGAAAAGAGCGACGTCGACATGAAGGGAAATTTCTGCGCGTCCCAGACGTTTTTGTAAAACAGCAGCGGCACAACCACGTACCAGACGGCGTAGCCGATCCAGCTGTTGAGCTGCTGCTTCAGCGGCAGCGACAGGTACGTGCTCTGAATGTACTGCCAGTCGAGGCTAAAGTTGAGCAGGCCGAGCCCCTCGTTGGACGAGGCGCCGCCAAAGACGCGGCCAAACGTGGTGCGCGTGGCCGTCGACGCGCCGAGGGAGGCCAGGCAAAAGACGGAGATGCCGCCGAGCCAGGTGGCCACGTAGGCCGGAAACACCTCCCAGACGGCGGCGGCGGCGAGGGCCCAGCAAAACTTGCGCAGGCGCGCGCGGTTGGCGGCGCGGTCAAAGTGCAGGTTCTGGAAGAGCACGACCTGCGGCAGCGTGGACCAGTAGACCATTTCGGCCGGGTAGACGATGAGGGGCCGCAGCACGCCGGCGAGGACGAAGCCGCAGAGCGAAATGGAAAAGGTGGCGAGGACGGCGGTGCTGGCGGTCACGGCCTTGTTGTAAAAGAGGCGCTCGACGGCGTAGATTTCGACGCCGGAGAGGCCGTTGTTGCCGGACGAGGCAATGAGCGAGGCGACGACGTGCTCCTTGATGCCAAAGGGCTGGCCAGAGTTGAGGAAGCGGAGCGCGGAGCGGAGGGTCGCGTGGGAGAAGCGGTCCGGGCTGGGCGTGCCGTAGGCCCAGGCCTCGCCAAAGAGAAAGACGAGGACTGGATTGGAAGAGGTCAGTAACGGCGATGAAGCTGGAGGAGGTGGTGGAAGTGGTGGTGGTATGAGCGTACGCTGGAGAAAGACGGCAGAGACTTGCATCTGCGTCGGTTTAAAGACGTAAAGCATAGTGATGACGCTGGAGAGGGCCGTGAAGATGGTGCCCAGAAAGATGGAGCGAAACGTTAGTGCCGGGTCGCCGTCGTCACGGTCAGAGACGAGGTATTTGGAAACATCATCGCCTGGCCGACGCGTGTTAGTCGCTGGTGTTTTGGAAACAGGTTTGTGCTTGGGTGCAGTTTACCGTTTCGAATGACGGGATGTCCTTTGACTCTTTCCGCCGTATCGATAGATGCTGCATCGTCTTTGCTCGTCAAGTCCGGAAGTTTGGCCGTCTCGTCGTTTAGTGCCGTGTGCAACCTGTCGGAGGACTCGAGCGCCGCAACGTCGACGGACGACTTTCCGGTGCCCATTGCTGCGAATGCTGCTAGAAGCGAGAAGCTATGATGAGATACAAAGCAAGCCTGATTAGAGCAAAGAAAAAAAAAAGGAACCTTTCTCGCACTGGCCAGTCTCTGCACTGTTTATAGATTTCCGTCGTGCCATTGCCCCCCCCATCAGGACCAGCTCCCCCGCCCTCGCGCTGATGTGGACAGACTGCGAAGCAAAAGCAAGTCTAAACATGCCATGTGACCATGCCAATGAAGACTTCGAGTAAGACCATGTCCTTCCTATTACGAATAGAAAACTGCACTAGCCAGACCAATGAGCGTAATCAGAAACAGACTATTCGGCGTGGCGCCCGGGAATATACACGGGCCCTGCGGGGGCGATAACCGGGCCTTGGCGGGTCTAGCCGATGTTGCCATTGTCGACAAGAATGACGGACGATGCGGTGCCCGGGTATCTCTTCCGAGCCACGCTTTACTGTCGGAGACTGGTGTGCGGAAGAGAAAAAAAGAAATGTCCTGATCGTGAGCTCAGCTGAGGCTTTTCGGAGTCGGGAGTCGTGAAAATGGCGTTTATACACCCACTGCCAAGACGTGAGCCGTGGACCGGGCGCCTGCGTCCACTTTTGGAACGACAAGGCGGTGTTGAAGGGAACATTTGCGGAATGTGGGGGTGAGAATGTTAATCATGAGGAAAGACGCATGATTACCTAACGGTCAATGAGAAAATTCATTTATATAACGCATCAGATAATGAAGGCGACATTTCAAAATTTGCAGTGGGGACTTTGCCTCAATGTTTACGTTTATATGAGTCAAAATGATGAACGGCGTTGGGCCGAAAGAATAGTCATGAAAGCCGTAAAGTATATTGTTGCAGATTCGCTGTCCCGCTCCATTGCTGTAGGTCAAAAGAGAACTCTTTGGTCCGGGATGGCAATTTCCATCTTCCAAAAGTAAGTCGTCTATTTTCCTCCAAGATATTCTGGAATAGCCTAATCCGATCCTCCTCGGCCTCCCACCACAGCCCATAGAGCTTGTATACCTAGATATTGCCCCCATGACTACCAGAGCTTGCTAAATCCAGTGCTTAGCCTTGGTCTCATCAGCAAGCCTGCCAGCCTCTGCCATGCGCTTCTTCAGATACGAGGCAACAGTCATCAAAGTCGTAGGGCTCCCATAGATGGGGACTCAGAGTAGGTAGATGACACCTTTCACGTTCCGTAATTGCTTACAGCGAACCAAAATCCTGTTTTCTGTCCTCCAAACAATCCTCCAGCCTCGGATGGTCAACAAATTCGTACCACCTCTCACCCACCTCTGCGCTGCTTATTAGAATTGAGTTTTTGTCGACAGCAAAGCCATTTTGACGTGAATCCAAGGGTGTTCACAGCCAATTCTTGCCATTCCAAGAAATCCAACAGCCGTCAACGCTTAGTCCCCATCCCATCCAAGAAGAGCGCATTTCGAACCGCGACCCAGGATTCAAGTGGCCGCTGGAGGCCACCTCTGACGACCCTTGTAACGCTGAATCGCGGCTCGAACCTCCATTCATCACATTTAAATGACATGATATTCTTCCAATACTGCTAAGTGTACTGGAATTATCTGGATTCATAATAGCAGTCGAGATGTGCGTCCTCCGTTCTATCAAACGCCCGCGCCTCAAGACTCGTATTGACTAGTCGCTTGTTGCCAGACGATGCAATCCGGCTACCGGCAATGGGGCCGACAAACTCGTTAAGATCCTGCAAGTCCGGGGGCTTGACCGGGCCGCGCGGCCACTGATCATCCGGGCGTCGGCGTGCGTGACGGGCGACGCGACCGCTTGCACGAGGCCCCGTACCAGCACTTCGTATTCAACGAAGCCCTTCGACTCCTCCTTAAGGAGCTACAGGATGCCCGAGTCGAAGCTCTTCAGAAAATTAAGATCAAAATACTAAAGATTATTTATAATTTCTTAGTGAAGTTTAATACTTTTTTTTTATTAACTATTTGATTTTCTAGAAACTGATCTAAATCATAAAATTTATAGAGAAGAGGGTTTTGTATATAAATGAAAAGCCGTGGGTTTTATTTCTCTTCTATTATAAGAGAGTTCTTTCTCCTTGTTCTGGGCTGTACTTGACCTTTCCAAGGCATCCTTCGTGGCAGCATCTTCATTACCGCATTGTTAGTGTTTTAGCTGGGATTTGCGGGCCGGCACTATCTAGACGGCTGTCGTCGTCATGGCTCTGGGGCGTGGCAGGCGAAAATGCAATGCCTTTGGAGTGGACTCTAGTTGCTGCATCCGTTCCATTTCTAAGCTATCTCAATAGATTTAGCAGCTGCTTAAACGTGGCGAGCTTTGATACGTTTCATGCAGCTCGCAATTCGGCAACGAGCAACGACAGAGACATTTTGAAGAATCGAGCGCACAGGGCCTAGAACGTGGAGAAAATGACCATGACGCCGATCTCGTCTTTTTTCTCTCTTGTCTAGATTTCAGTGTCTGAACGCCCACATCCTGTTTTGTGGCTTATTCCATGCCTTTCACTGCTTCGAGGCGGCTTACTTGAGGTCGCTAGCGCCGCATGTAATCAATGATGCAGCAAGCTGAGCGTTTACTCATGATACAGCAATTTGAGCATTCAATCAATGATACAGCAAGCTGAGCATGTAAGAGTAACTTTAATGAGTTGTCCATATCCAGGATAAAATGATACACTCTTTTGCAGTACACGTACGGATGGAGCTTCGATAGCACTTCTATGATATTGGGGGCTACCCGACAGAGACAGTACCCACCAATAGCCTTGTGTACGAGTACCCAACTGTTTGGTTTGGGTCAGCAGGCCTGCGAGTAACGAAAGAGATGAGCTTAGGCGCAGGCGTCCGATGTTGATCTGATGCTGACTTTCATCATCTCTGTGTCTTGTCTGTGGCTTGTTTCGGGTTGTCCCTGTGGTGGCTGCTCACTCACATGCACGCCATGCTACTATGCTCCCGTAGTGGGCTAGCAGCAACAGCCAATCAGATCACGCCTTACGAAATACCCCGCCAATATGCACGCTTCTCACCTTTCCCCGCCTCCACTATATTTCTGACTTGATCTCCTGCTACTGGTTCTCTAGTATGCTCCCAAGTTAGATATTGCATCACTCGTCTGATAGGCTCTTTGAATGGCTGACAGGACGGCAGACTTGGCAAGCAAGCGTTTCAAAGGGAAAAGGTTGTATGGCGCTGGCGCCGGCTGGTTTAGTTTTTAAAGTTGATGGGCGGGGCATGTATGTATAGGTGGGCTGGAAAACTTGCAGGTATGCACTGGATGACTGATGACTAGGTATGCACCAGTGGCAGCACCACTGGATGACTGCATTGACTGCTATTTCGATAAAGTCTTATCAGTGCCGTTATCACGCCTATCAGTCCTGGATAGGTTTAGTTTACCCTTGGTTTTATAGATTTTGTCCTTGATTTAGCAGCCCCAGTAAGCATTCAATCGGAGCGAATGGCCAATTAAAAAGCTGCAAAAAAATCTACAGTGAGTACCGAGGCCTTCATAAAGAAAATTGCGCCTCTCAGCTTATGGTCCGGCAATCGGAGCGCTTCCCGTGACTCATGAAAAACGTTTCCTCAACCTCAAAAGCATAAATTGATTTTTACCCCTCCCTCACGCTAACTAGAAAGCAATCATTTCTTCAACACCCACCTCTTAAAGAGCAACATCACCCTCTCCCGCGATCCGAGAACCATTCCCCCGACTTGCTGTATAGCCGCATTGTCCTCGACAAAACCACTTTTGCTTCACGACTTCATCGTCCTTTGGACGCCCATCGCCCAACATGCCCATCACCAGCAACAGCACAACGAACCCCTACTCGAGCGTCAGCGATCTCTTGAGCAATGTCCGCAACTTCAAGATTATTGAATGCAAGTATTTGCGGAGCCCTGAAATTCCAAACGAGTAGCTCAAAAAAAATTGATTCGCTGCCCTTACCAGGGCGTCGAAGCATGGACACAACTACAAAATGTCTTTCTCTCGTGAAAAAACGTCAATAACTAACCAATCCGTTTTAGCTACGCTGAGGGAGGGCGAGCAGTTTGCCAATGCCTACTTCTCGACCGAGACCAAGATCAAGATGTAGGTCCGAGGCCGCAACAGATAATTTTTTACACCCGCTGACGTCACCTTTTTAGTGCGACTATGCTGTACGATACCCTAGAACCTTGTTCTACCGCACAACTCAAGAAACTGACCTCTAATTAGATCAGATTTCGGAGTTGATTACATTGAACTCACGAATCCGGCTGCTAGCCCGGTAGGTCCTAGTCAGTAGGCCCTTCTGTGAGCTCGGCGCTAATTTTCCTTAGCAATCCCGCGACGACTGCGAGGCTATCTGCAAGCTCGGCCTTAAGGTGTGTCCTCCCAGAACTAGTACAGGAAAAGGATTTTCCAATACTAACAAAAAAGTAGTCCAAGATTCTAACCCGTTCGTCGTCCCCTTTCGATCCCATTGTGCTCGTGATACTAACCGCCATCTTCAGACACAAGATGCACACTAGAGGTACGTTGCACTTGTGAGAATTGCGTGGAGGTCGAAACAGCTTCTGGATTACCCAGATGTTGCCTCTGCCAGTCCGAAATTCCATTTTACAGAGCACGCGGCTAACATGATCTCCAGGACGCCAAGCTTGCGGTACGAACCCCTCAAATTGGGACATAATTGCAATTGACTAAACGCTTTTAGTGCGACTGCGGAGTTGACGGTGTCGATGTCGTAATTGGAACGAGCCGTGAGCACAGACAATCATATCTACCTCTCGTTCATTGACTGACTGGCAACAAGAATTTCTCCGCGAGCATTCCCTTGGCGGCAAGGACATGACATCAATCACCAAGCAGGCTATCGAGGTTATCGAGTACATCAAGAGCCGAGGCTGCGAGGTTCGCTTCTCGAGTGAAGACTCTTTCCGGTCTGATCTGGTTGATTTGCTCTCCATTTATCGCGCGGTCAACAACGTTGGAGTAGGCAGAGTCGGTGTTGCCGACACCGTGGGCTGTGCTTCCCCCAGACAGGTTTACGACCTCGTGAGAACTCTTCGCGGCTGCGTCTCGACCGATATTGAAGTTCACTTCCACGACGACACGGGCTGCGCTGTGGCCAACTCGTTTACCGCTCTCGAGGCTGGTGCCACGCACGTTGACACATCGGTGCTTGGAATCGGCGAGCGAAACGGCATTTGCCCACTCGGCGCCCTCATGGCTAGAATGATGCCGACCAGCAGAGATTACATTCTCTCCAAGTATAAGCTGCACCAGCTCAAGGCCATTGAAGACTTTGTTGCGGAGGCTGTTGAGATCAACGTGCCCTTTAATAACCCGATTACCGGGTTCTGCGCCTTTACACACAAGGCTGGCATCCATGCCAAGGCGATTCTCAACTCCCCATCCACCTACGAGATTCTCAAGCCCGATGACTTTGGTCTGTCAAGATATGTGCATTTTACGTCTCGTCTCACTGGCTGGAATGCCATCAAGAGTCGAGTCGACCAGCTCGGTCTCGAAATGACTGACGATCAGGTCAAGGAGGTGTAAGTATTAGCCGCTTGTCCTCCTCACATTGGCATCGCTAACAGAATTCTTCTACAATCTAGTACGGCCAAGATTAAGCAGATGGCGGACCTCAAGATCATGACCCTGGACGAGAGCGATGCGCTGATCAGATCCTTCCACCTGGACCTACAGAAGGACGCAGCTCAGAGTGCCGAGGCTTGAAAAGACCTGTACTTTACAGAGCTGACATGGTCGACATGGAAGGAACGACGAACGTGTTGAAAAGGCTACTTGAAAAGTTGGTATGTTTTTGTATATGTTAAGATGAAAAGCCAAAATTTGATACTTTGTTCCTTTCTGCGTCGGACTTGTCTAATTCGAGTGATGACCCAACGCCGCAGCCATGCTCACAAACCGTGAACTGGATTGAGTAACGAATGACGGGCAGCGGCCACGCCAAGATACTTAGTGGACGCATGCTGGTGATGAAAACAGCAGCAATTAAAACAATAGTGCCAGCAGTACAAGGAGAGAAATACTAGATCCGATTTCAAATCTGAAAATGCTCATCAATCCGGAATCTAGTCCTGCCCAGATCCTCACCACGCGCAAACGCCACCCACAGCTTCTTGACCTCTGCGCCAACATTCTTCACCAATGCCTCCCCGTCACTCCCTTTGAGCATCGGCGCATCCTTCCAGGCGTCCCAGCCACCTAGGATAAACGCCATCTCCATAGTATGCGCCGCCTTGAACGGGCTTTCCGCCGGCGCAACCGCCAGCTCGTAGAACCAGGGATCGCCGCCCGCGGCGCGCGCTTGCTCCCACAGCCTGTCCGCATCGTCTTGGAACCACGACCTGCTGATGAAGTCGACCACGCTCGCCGTCGTCGGGATTGCTGGCCGCGCGTCAGGATGCATGCCGTTGAAGATGGCCTCAAAGGCGACGCCCTCGTCGCGGCAGTAGCCGATGAATAAGGGTATGCGTGTCAAAGCGCGCTGCACGCGAGCGGCGAATTCGGACTCGCTGATGCAGAGCGGCGCGTGGCCGAGTGTAGGCGCAAACGGCATCAACAGGGCCTCGAAGCTGCGCGACGCGAGCGCCAGCTTCTTTTGCACCTGCAACAGCTCATCCGGTGTCGTCGCCGTCTCGGCAGGGCAGCAGCTACCGAGCAGCGCGTCTTGCGCAGCGCTGTCGAGCGCTTCCACCATGGCTCCGCGGTCCATGCGGCGGACGCCGAGAGGGGCGCTCTGCAAAATGGCGCGCTGGAACAGGGACTCGCCGCCGTCGGCCGCGAATAGGCAGTAGATGGAGTCGGCGCCCGCGGACGCGCCCGCGAGGGTGACTTGCTGGGCGTCGCCGCCGAAGCTGCTGACGTTGTCGCGGATCCAGCGCAGCGCCGCCATCTGGTCGAGCAGGCCCAGATTGCCCGGCGCCGTGCCCTGGATGGGCTGATAGCCCAGGATCCCGAGTCGATAGGTGATGCCGACGTGGACGACGCCGCCGGCGGCCGCCAGGTCGGCGCCGCTGTAGACGTCGAGATCGCCGCCGCCGGATGTGTAGCCCCCACCGTGGAGGAATGCAATGACGGGCAGGAGTATTTTTGGCGTTGTTTCGGGTAAATCCGTAGCGGGCGCGCAGACACTGACGTGCAGACAGTCCTCACTCATGGCGTGGCCGGCGGTGATGGGGCCGTTGAGCGCCTCGAGACGAGACGGCATCTGAGGGCATATCGACGCTGGGCCCGTACAGTCCACGATGTCGGTCCACGGCTCTATAGGTTGCGGGGGTTGGAAACGGGTCGCTTTGGCATAGCGCACGCCGCGGGCGCGAATTGTGTCGCCCTGCTTCGAGGCATAAATGGCGCCGTCTCGAAGCTGGATCCGGATCTTGGAACAGTCTGCCATGGCTGGTCGATGAGCGTATAAGACGACAGTTCCGGGCAGGACAGCCCTATAAAACTCAAAGCTGAAGAGTTAACAGGAATTTGGATTATTATGATGATTCTAGAGCAAGATTCGCGGCAGTTGGGACACGGAGCGAGCCTGCAAGCGCTGGCGAGGTTGTGGAGAAATCGGGATATCGGCATCTAGCGGCTGATCGTGCGGGATAGTCGATCTAATATTTGCCGTGCTATATTCACAGTATCATATCTATATCCTGCCTGGCCTGCAACTACTTTAGATTTGCTCTTATAAATGCGACAATGTCGTCTACGCCTTGCGGTTCGTTGACCCAGTGTCCGCCATCCTTGTACTCGTGCCACTTCACGTTGAGTCCAAGAGCCGTCAAGACATTCTTCATGCGTTGACCATTTGCAATCGGGACAACGTCATCGTCTGATGCGTGCTCTAGCAATACAGGTGTGTCTTTAATCTGGCTGGGCAGCGGCTCTGCTATGAATGTCTCGGTCTCGGGACGATATAAGCCTTGGACCGCGGAGAAGAGTGAAGCCTCCGAGTTGTGCTTGGTGATGGCGGCCTCGACTTGGGACGAGAAAGGGAGCCAGCTGCACAAGCCAATGACGCCGGCAAACCCTCCCTGGCCTTGGGCAAATAAAACAGACAGCGCGGTGGCAAATCCTTGACTGATTCCGCAGAGAAATATTTTGCCCCTCGAAATGAGCTTCTCCTCGTCGTCGATGATTGCGAGCACCGTCTGGACGCTGCGGTGCAAGCCGCTGCGCTGGATCTCGCTCCTCAATCCGGGGTCTTCAACAGCCCACATGTCAAACCACTGCGACAGGTCCGTGTCGAAGCGCTGTGAGTGTAAGATGGGTGCGGCTGGAAAAACCCAGCGAACGGCGGGAAGCAGGCCAGGCAAGGTGCGGTCTGGTGGAGTGGCCGAGTCGCTGCGGCCTGGCTGGCTGGTCGAGCCGGTGCTGGCTTCACTCTCAAATAGCTCCTCGGCAAACTCTTGGGCGTTGCTGTCTCGGCCGTGTAAGAAAATGACGGTGTATGCGTGGGTATGGCCTTTTGCCGGACCGTGGATGTATGTGCTTGTTGTGTTGGGTTCCATTTGAGCAGATGGAATCGTCGAGGTTGATAGGGGAAAGTCCTGATGCAGGGTTGCTGGCGTAGCAAGAAAGAATAACTGGCAAAGTCGACGTATTCAATGCAACCCTACTCAATTCTCGAATACACCTTGATCGTGGCGTGTTCAAGGTTGTCTAGATGGTGTTCTCTGGCTGTTGTCATGCTCTGCCACTTTTGTTGCCCGCTGTGTGACAGCGGGTCGTCAGGCTCGCTTTATTTATTAGTCGTCTGTGTGTTCGCGACAGAGCTCGTAGATGCAATGAGAGGAACCAATCCTAACAAGATGTCATTGCTGTTTTTATTCAATTACACAAGTCCGAACTTCGTGATACTTCCTGCACACTATTGTTGTTGCTTTCTACAGTATTCTGGTTGCCTCTTCGCCAATCATCATGGTAGGCACGCCAATGTACACCACCGTACACCCTTGATTTTCAGGGCACTTGCAGCGGTTGTGGTAACAAATCAGCGCAGGCTCCCCAGTCAATGGTCACTAAAATGCCGTGTAGCTCCCCGCGCAGCCCCCCAAAAACACCCCCTAGGTACCTAGGTAGGTAGGTAGGTCCACTAACAGCCCTGTGTCTTGCCTCAAGCAGCCTACTAACCTACCTACCTAGGTACCTACTGCGATATCGCAGCAATTTCTGCTCCACCGTCAACTCGACTCAACCTCCTTCCAATCTTCCCTCGACCAACCAACGATATTTGAAATTACGGGGAGCGAATCGACTTGACCCTCAATCATATACCCAAGTCCATCGAATTGTCCTATAATCCTGCCGGAAACTCATACAACAGGCCCCTGCAGTGCGCAACCTCGCCTCACCACGACTACTGCGTATCGCGTGACCAGACCATGCCCGTCTTCCATCACACTTGATTACCATGGTTCGAATTGCTGCCGTCCGCGGCGCCTCACACATCCGGAATCTCTGCCGCCGTTTGCCTTCCTCGAGCTCTATTCCCATTCATATGACTCCTTTGACCGTCACTCCGCCAACTGCCACCTCTCCAACATCCTGCTCCAGCCCTCGACATCTCTCCTCCACACGTCCGCTCCGCACCGGGACACCACCGCCCCCGAGCCGCTCCATTGCCGAGCTACCGGCGCGCACGCACCCCCGCTACCTGCAGAGCTCCAAGCCCGGCTCCTCGCTGCTCGTGCTCAACTGGCCGCGGCCGCCGCGCAACCTGCTCCTCGTCCAGAAGCTCTACGCGCCCGACGTCACCGAGTCCGTCATCCAGTTTGCGCGCCACATCCACAGCGAGTACCCCGACGTCCACATCATCGTCGAGCCGCGCGTCGCCGAGACGGTGCAGAAGCACCTGGGCTTCCCGCTGTACGTTGCCGACCACCAGTCCAACATTGCCGACAAGGTCGACGTTATTGCGACGTTTGGCGGCGACGGCACGGTGCTGCGCGCCGCGAGCCTGTACAAGCTGCACGGCTCCGTCCCGCCGATTGTCTCGTTTAGCATGGGCACGCTGGGCTTTCTGGGCGAGTGGAGCTTTGCGGATTACAAAAAGGCGTGGCGCGAAATGTACATGAGCGGCAGCGACGTGCCCGAGGCGAGAGAGGCGGATTACTTGCAGCAGGGAGAGAATAACAACCTGACGAGGCGCACGACGCACTACGAGGGCTGGGAGCGCATGAAGGGCAAGTGTTTGGGGCATCAGAGAGCCTCGCGTGTGCTGCTGAGACACCGCATCAAAGCGGACATTTACGATCGGGCAGGCAACAGCGTCAATCACCAGGTATCTGACACGTTGTCCAGTCAAGGAAAGTCGACCATTGCAGAGTCCAAAGAGCCGTCTCCTTCACTACGAGCCATCAATGAGATTTCCGTGCACCGCGGCTCGCACCCCCAGCTCGCCATCATCGATATATACCAAAATGGCCATTTTCTAACCGAGACCATCGCCGACGGCATCCTCATCAGCACACCGACCGGTTCCACGGCCTACAGCCTGAGCGCCGGCGGCCCCATTGTCCATCCGCTGGTCAAATCCCTCCTCATCACGCCCATTAGCCCCTGCAGCTTGAGCTTCCGCTCGCTCGTGCTCCCGCTCGACACCAAGGTTGTGCTGCGCATGAGCTCGCGCAACCGCGGCCGCGAGCTGGACCTGAGTATTGACGGGAAGCGCTGCTGCGGCGTGCTTCCGGGCACCGAGATTCGCGTCGAGGGCGAGTTTGTGGGCCGGGCCGGGCCGGGCGAGGAGTGGCACGGCGGCGTGCCGTGCGTAATTCGCACAGAGGAAGATGATCCCTGGGTGGGCGGTCTTAATGGGCTGCTCAAGTTTAATCATCCTTTTGGAAGAGATCCTGCAATGGATGACATGTCTGATTAGATTTTGTGTCAGCGCATACCATCAAGGCTGACGAGTGTTGAGAGTTGAAAATGTAACACTGAATAGATACCCCCAATCGCTAACTGAACTAATAATACACGTCAAATTCATGACATCTACCACAATTCTAGGCTGCCTTGTATTCGATGAGTTCAACAGAGTCTATACTCAGGATAGAGAGTTATGCCAACAATCAAGCTATTCTATAATACTATTAGTGAAAGTCGAGGTACTCATCTGGCACCGTCGGCCAGACATCGACTCCATCAAGCAGCACCATAATCATGCCGCCCATCATATGATTGCTGATATGGCAGTGCAGCAGCCACGCGCCCGGGTTCGTCACCTGATAGCGCACCACGATCCAGCTCACGTCCTGTCTCGCGATCAACGTGATAAACGTGTCCCGCCGCGGCGGATTCACGAGGTTAAACTGCGCCGGTATCTCCTCAACAGCCTCGTCAACCGACGCCCACCTAAACGCACCCGTACCCGAGCCAATCATGTACATTTTGTTACCGTGCTTGTGCACCGGGTGCGGCGGCATCGGGAACACGGACGCAAGCAGCACCAGGTCGATCCAGGTGCCGTTGCGCGTCGCCAGCGTCACGTTGTCGTTGCGCGCAGCATGAGCCGCTGGCGGCTGAAAGAGAAGCGGCGAGCGCCAGCGGTCCATGTTGGCGGGTCGCAGGCCGGTGCTGTTCATGGCCCAGCGGTACGAGGCACCGTCGAGCTTCATGCGCAACACGTGCAGCTCGTCGGCCGACGCGGGGATCGGCTCCGCGGGGTACGGATGGGCGCGGTCGTCGCTGTAAAAGGTGACGTTGGACGAGAGCGGCCCGCCGGAGATGGTGACCCACGGCGCCGACTCGCGCAGGTGGCGCCGGGGAAGGCCCGGGCTGCTGGGCCCGCCGGAGACGGAGAGGACCGCGTAGCTGGTAATCATTTGCGGCGCGCTCGAGGCGTGGAAGCGCATCTTGAAGGCGCCGGCGCGGGTCGGCCGCACAAGGACGGCGTAGCGCTCGCCATTGGAGAGCGAGATGGCTTGCACGCGCTGCGGGATAATGTAGCTGCCGTCGACGGCATATACCCACATGTCGTGCTCGTCAATGGAAAAGGCGCCGGTGGCAAAGTTGGTGGCGCCGAGGACGTTGAACGACACCCAGCTGTTCTGGGCAACGTTGAAGGTTTCCAACGGGTCGGTGCCGTTTTCGCAGCCGTAAAAGATGCGGTGCGGGATGGCGCTCTCGTTGAAGTGCTCCATGTCGCCGCCGAAAGCGGCCATGACTTTGGGAGGGAAGCAGCTGTGGCGCAAAGTTAGCTGTTGCTGGTTTACATTGTCGTCTGTGAGAGTGTTGGGAAAAGGGAAAACGGCCCATACCCTCGATCTGTTAGAGAAGAACCCGGGACCAGTGCGAGATCGCCAATCTGTGGGGGAGTGAGGTTTGCTTGCATGTCCTCGGCAGTAAGGCACTCCATCCGGCCCTTGCCGTTGAACAAGATACGGTCGTAGCAGGTAAGCTCGATGCCCGATGCCAGAGTAATGTCCCACTTCTCTTCCGATGTAATGTGCATCAGGTCAAAAACGGCGACAGCCTGGGAGTCCTTCTCAGCCTGCACCATGGCGCTGACGTCGCCGCTGTGGGCGGAGATGAGGTGGAACGGGTTGTCCGCTCCAGGGCGAGGATGGATGAAAATATGGCCATACAGACCGTCCTCGATTTGGATGCGGGAATGCGAGTGGTACCAGTAGCTACCATGCTGCGTAGCCTTGAATCGGTACGTAAATTCTCTACCTGGGGAAATCTCTAGCTGCGTGACGCCGGGCACGCCATCTGACCAGGGAGTGCCTTGCATTTCCAGGCCTGGATGCCGTTAGCTTGCGTATGAATTGTCCCGGGACGAACAATGGTTTGACGGTACCGTGAAAGTGGACGGTGGTGTTAAAGGGCGAGCTGTTGATGACATGGACAGTCACCTCGTCGTCTTGGTTGAACTGCAGCTCGGGGCCCGGCGTCTGGCCGTTGACGAGCAACATCTTGCGCGAGATGCCCAGCGGCGCATACCGTTCCCACGTAAGTTCCAGCTCAAACTCCTTGACACATGCGGAAGCGCTGGCTTCCACCACGATAGGCAGGTTCGCAGCCGCCACCAGTGACGCTACCAGACAGGCTATGAGAGCCCACAAAGCCTTGTTCAACATGATGGAAATCTGATGCTGGTCCTAAACGAGTTCTTCTCATCTGGGAGACGCTGCAATATATACTGTGTGAGTTGTTGGACAACACGGCTACCTGCATCTCTGAGACAGCGATTCAATCCCTTGGGTCGTCGTAATGAGAGTATCGTAGCCGAGTAGTCTCCGCGTGATCAACTTCAGCCTGAGCCTGTCAGCGGCGGACTGTTGTGATCCCCAAGTTTGGAGCGCGGTGAATGTGAAACCTCGAAAACGACAGAGTTCGCCTCATCTTTGGTCAACACGCAAGTTCTCTTCCCCCTTTTCTCCGTTCATTCAAGACAATCACAATAACAAATTGTCCGCGAAATGTCTGGCATGTCGGATCAGAGAAAACTGGGCGCGACAAGAGTCCCAGCCAATCCCGTATAACAGATCTGAGTCGCTTCATTTCCCCGCCCCTGTAGCTGATCCGATGGGGTAATACGCGGGTGGCCTCTCGGTCCATTTCTTGTCAAGAGGGAGGAGCTTTTTTGCCTTGTGTATGTATCCGTAGTATTTATTATTTCGCGACTGCAATCCCGCGCTTCCGAAATGGTATGCTGACGCTGAAACATGGAAGCCGGTGCTGGGTGCATTTGGTGTGGATATTGTTCGTCATAACAAGTCAGCGCTGTGGCGCAAGAATCACTTGGAATAGTTATCCTCGCCGCTAATCTCAGGATAAATTAAGACTTGGATGGAATTGTTATTATTAATCAGACTATCATCATTTGATAATGAGACTAAGATCACTTTCCTTTTTCTAAAGTATTTAAAAACACGTTTAGAGTACCTAAGTTGCTTACCACTCTCTTAAATAATTCATGTAGTTTTCACTTTGAGATGAAGACAAAGTATTTACTCTTACATGAGAAGCTAAGCCTACAAAGATATATAACCTGATTATTTCCGCATAATGATGGTGTATCCACAGCCTGTGTACGGACTACGGAGTACTGGTATGTGGGGTCCGTTTCCGTCATCGCTCAGCTCCTGCCTTGCCGCCTACTATTACCCGCCACCTGCCTCTTTCATCTAACAAACTCGAACATCAAACATCTGCCAGCCGATTATCAACAGGCACAAATCCAAGCCGTCGCCATCATATTGCTCCTACATCGGCGACACAAAACACAACCCCACAGAAGAAAACGTACACCATAGCGCCCGAGGCCAGTACGGCCGTCGCAGTCCCACCTCGCCGCCTGGGACCTTCCTACAGCTCAAACCACAAACGTCGCGCGACCCCTCATCCAAACCCCATCCACCCATCTCCGGAGATGCCTGCTCTCACCATCTCGACCGACAAAAATACCCCTACGGCAACCGCAGCCGCGGCGACACCACAACCGCGCGCCGCCTCCCCGACCAACGGCCCGCCCATGTCCCCCATTACCCCGCCGTTGCGCGCCACGCAGCTCTCCGGCAACGTGGACGACGCCTCCTCGTCGTCGCGGCCGACGCTCGCGCACACGACGCAGCAGACACCCGTAACGCTGCCACTCGCTCCCGGACCCGAACCCATAGACTTTGATGCCAACCCCGACACGATTGCGCTCAAGTCGGCCATTGCTGTGTTGCAGCTACAGCGGCAGCGCGCAACCGCCGACATTCAGGCCCTTAGCCGCGCCAAGGACGAAGCCGTCGGCGATCCCGAAGCCTTTGTGCGCGACCTCGCCGCTGGCAAGGTGAATAATCCCCCCGCCGCCGCCGCCGCCGCCACGGGCTCTGACGATGACGAGGAAGAAGACGCGTCCGTGCAGCAGCAACAGCAAAAGAGGCATTGGAATACGCTACCGAAACCGCAAGAGGTCGTGCGATGCCCGCCCATCAACTGGTCACAGTACGCAGTCGTGGGCGACTCGCTCGATAAGCTGCACGCGGAACAGGTTGCGCGGCCGACGCAGGGCACCCCCGCCGCGTACATACCCGGCCATGCGGGCATGTACGAGTTTAGAGGCGGCGACGGCCGTCAAGAGACCTACCAGGGTGCGGCGGTGCCGTATAACCCCGTCAAGGACAGGGTTGACAGGAAAGCCACGAGCAAGGCGAGAAAGTAGACAACTTCTCACGTAACAGCACATTCTACAAATATGCACCAGTATGGCGTTTCGGGTGTTTGACAAAGCAAGCCAGGAATGGATTATTATATAGACGGCTAATCGACTTGTTCTTCTTTTTCTTTTTCTTGGTGAAGAAAATGCGAAGGCATATTCACTCACCGCCGAGAGAGGGACCTCGTACATGCCGTGAGGCACCGCCTGCCAACTGCGCAACGAAGCACAGAATAGATCACTGCCCATCTTCTCAGTCTCGGCCACGGGTCATGATGGATAAAGTGAGGTAAATGAAGAAGAATTAGCCTCACCGCCTCATACACCGCATCTCGGCTACTCATATGCTTGCTTACGCCTTCCGCATTCCCTGTTATCCATGGGCATCAGTCATTCAGGGAGGTCGCTGCAGACACGTTAATATCGCGGCGCTCCTAAACCAAAGAAAAGCGACTCACTCCATGCTATCCTGTACAGATCGACGCAGTCTTCTGTTGTACTGCTTTTTCTCATCGGGTGAATGGCTCCAATATAGCTTGGTTGCCTCGGGATGGACAATCTTTCGCGGGTCATACGCTGGCTGATCCTCCTCGAGAAGCTCCAGGATAGCCTCGATATGGCTGCGGACATCGCCTGAAGCACTTGCCGGTGGATTATAGCAGTATGTACCGTCCGGCGCAATCTGGTGGTGAAAGATCTTGGTTTGAAAAATGGCGCGAGGCTGCTCGTTGGGAAAGTGAGGGCTGAAATGCAGTTTGAGACGGAGCATGCCGCCGTCGAGATTGGTCATAGGACGCCCGAAATAAGTTAGAATCCAAACGAAAGCGTTGTCATTTTCCAAAGACACGCTATGTGGCACGTCTAGACCTCGAAAATAGGCAAGCATCTGCTCGAATTGGTGGCGCAAATTGACGGCCACGGTCGAGTCATTTCGCTGCGCCATCAGGCCATCTTCGGCCCAGGTAGTGAGCTCATCTTTGAGGGCCTTTTTGATATTTAAAAGGCGGCGCTCAAGATCTCGGTAGCAGAATTTCCCCTCCATGCTGTTGCTGCCAGGTTTTTCAAAGGGCATTTGTACAAAGCCTGCTCCGTCCCTGGTCTCTGATTGACCGAGTCGAATAGCTGCCATGTAGGATTCAAAATACCAGAGAAAACGTCGCTTGCAAAGGTCTTTGAAAGGCTCGAATGGTATTGTCGCTTCATCAACGTCTGCTTCTGTGCCGTTGCTATCTGTTGCTTTGGGTGGTGGAATCCTGGTTCCATCGATTTGCAAACCTAGATAGCGCTCCAAGCGTTGAATAACAGATATTCTCAAAGATTCATGACGTATCTATAACTTTAGTAGAAGCTACTAGATGCGGCGGTAGAAATCTTACTTTTTGCACGTAAGCCTGTTGATACTCCTTGTCTTTTGGGCTGTTGCTATTTTCGAACCCAGGCTCGTTCTCGAACGGATTCGCCGACATCAGACTCTGAATTGACAAAAGTATAGATTCCATGCCCTGGGCAGATGACCATTGCTCGCTTCGTTCACCTCTCCACGTGCTAGTTAAAGTTAGTGCGACTCACAGCTGTCTCCGTCGCAGCGTACCCTAGAATAGACCTGTGATGGTTAGCGAATGTGTGTCAAAACGGAAACACGGTGCTACACACAAGCAGACTTTTCCGTTTGCATAGATATTTGGGTTGAACCGACAGCGCCCTCCATTGGTGGTGACGCATTGCACGTTTGGTGCGGTCGAGGGGTAGGCTGCAGTTGGTTAGCACATGGCGAGCAACAGAGGACGACGTTGCCTACACTTGTGAAACTTGATGGCAAACTAGGAAGAATGATTAGACAAGTTTCACTCTGACCATGATGGCGACTTACTTCGTAGAATCCGAATTCGTAGGGGGTCTCGTGAGGTCCCACAATGAGCGCCTTTACGTTCCGCACGTCGACATCTCGGCAGGCGACGGCAATGGCTGGAGATGGTAAGTTGAGGTTATGGTATCGACGTAAAGTCAGCCGGTATAAGATAAACTCACCGAGATCGGAAGATCGTTGGAGGTCTGCCAACTCCTGTGAACCACAAATGTGAGCGCTGCGTGACTGGCCAGGCTGGGACGCTGCTCACCTTTGTGATGCGAATTATTGACTGGTCCATTGTGAGGACCCCGCGCGGCAAGGGCAATGAAAGGGACGGAGTGTCAGAACAGAGCTAAGAAGCCACAGATATCAGGAAGAAGAGGTAGCTTGTTCTTTCGAGGGTGGTTCACGAAATGGCGACTCTGGCCAGTTGCTGCATGTGAGGCGGCACAGCGGCAAGGCGGGGGCGGGGTAGAAGTCTGCTCTGAGGTGCAATTGGATGGAAGTTGGCAATGTACGCGAAATCGAATACTCAGACTTTCTACAGTCTCCGATTCTCCTTGACATGAGAGAAATAAAGTGGCTGTGAGGTTGCAAGAGGAGAGATGGGTGCAGCGGAGGATGCACATGGAACAAGAAAGACTGAGCATGCACAAGGCAGGCGGCAGGCGGCAACTTGCACTGATTCAGCGCAGCCTGTTTTGTGTGTGCGTTGCAAGGTTGAACCGAAGCGGTGCCCTTGCAAGCTAGTGCGGACTACCTAAATTATAATGAAGCCCAACTCACGGCCCAATAATTTGTCTAATCAATCATGGAAGGCCGCAGCTATACTCCATCTACAGGCAACCAGACTCGAGGCAGTGTAAATGGTTCGCAGGCGGTCGTTGATGCAGCTCAGCTCAGGCGAAGCGCCCTGTTAGGTAGGTGGTGGGGCTTGCAGCTGCAGGCTGTCATGGGGTCTTGTGCGAGGTTGCTGCCGCGCTGCTCTACCTACCTTATTTTACTAGTAGATTATTGGGCAACTATTTAAATATTAATTTCATAAAATCTCTTCTTCTACATTCAAGCGATTTCTTGTTTCTTCCCTTTTTTCCACCTTTTTTCAACAGTCTAGTGAGCCACTCTTTTTACCGCCTGTACCAGTGTCATGTGCAGCGTCCTACAAGTTGAAACTGATCATTGAAGACGAAAGAAAAGAAAAATTCGCTAAACTCTGGGAATCCATACTTTTAACTCTATTTATTCAATTTATCCGATGGAGAATTCTTCCAACCCAAAAGGTGCCGTTGATAAATACTTGATTGTGCATGTTTTCGAAGCCCCACCCATAGTAAAAGTACCTACGTACCTGCTAGATTCTACGCGACTGCGGCTGTCGCGTCACCCGCAACGCGTTAATAGGTTTCCATATCCTGAACCCTCGTTTCTGCCAGCCCAACGCCGCGTATATCTCAACACATCTTTTTCCATAGCTGCGCAGACCCTGAACCGCCACTCGTCGATACGACAATGGCATCTTTCTTCGATATCAAGGCGCGCAAGGCAGCGGCCGCCGCCAACGGTGGCTCTGAGCAGAAGCAGAGCAAGGTCAGCGACGGTCGCATACAGCCCTGGGTCGAGAAATAGTAAGTTCGCCGAGCTTTGGCAGGCACCTATAATGCCAGTCTTTTAACGTTTCTTAGCCGTCCCAAGAGTCTCGACGATGTTGCTGCTCAAGAACACACAGTCACTGTCCTGCAACGAACACTACAGGCCGCCAACGTAAGGCCTCTATCCGAGCTCCGGCAAGACGCACGCTGATGCCCGTTCCTTTATAGCTCCCTCACATGCTCTTTTACGGCCCGCCCGGCACCGGAAAGACGTCGACCATTCTCGCCCTCGCCAAGCAGCTCTACGGCCCGGAAATGATGAAGTCGCGTGTCCTCGAGCTCAACGCCTCCGATGAGCGTGGCATCTCCATTGTCCGCGAAAAGGTCAAAAACTTTGCGCGCATGCAGCTCACGAATCCGCCTGCCGGCTACCGCGAAAAGTATCCCTGCCCGCCCTTCAAGATCATCATCCTCGACGAGGCCGACTCCATGACGCAGGATGCCCAGAGCGCCCTTCGCCGCACCATGGAAATTTACAGCAAAATCACGCGCTTCTGTCTCATTTGCAACTACGTCACTCGCATTATCGACCCACTAGCCAGTCGCTGCAGCAAGTTTCGCTTCAAAAGCCTCGACCAGGGCAGCGCCATGAAGCGCCTCGAGGAGATTGCTGCCGCCGAGTCGGTACCTCTCGGGGACGGTGCCATCGACGCCCTGGTTCGCTGTAGCGAAGGTGACTTGCGTAAAGCCGTCACGTTTTTGCAGAGTGCGGCTCGTCTGATAGGTGCTGGTGCACAAGTCAAGGACGGTGACGGCGACGAGGACATGGACGTGGATAAGAAAGCGGTCACCGTCAAGATCATCGAAGACATCGCTGGCGTGATTCCCGGAGCGACAATAGACGAGCTCGTGGCTGCTCTGCGCCCACGAGGCTCAAATGGCTCGTATTCTAGCGTCTCCAAGGTGGTAGAAGACATGGTAGCCGACGGCTGGAGTGCTGGACAAATTGTATCGCAGGTAAGCGTCGTCCCCATCTCAATCACGGCCATTCCTAACTTTTTCTAGCTATACCAAGTCATCACGTTCGACGAAACGATCCCTGATGTACAAAAGAACAAAATTGTCATGGTATTCTCCGAAGTGGACAAGCGCTTGCTGGACGGAGCTGACGAGCACCTGTCGATTCTCGATTTGTCCATGAGAATATCCGCAATCATGTCTGAAAAATAAACATTTATGCGTAACGAATTGAACAACCCAAGATAAGGGTAAAAGAATCAAGATTTGGCTATGCATGCTACTAGACAGGGGTATATGTAAACACTCTTACTTCATGGTCCCTCTTGGCCCAGCAGACCCAGGTTGCCTCGCACCTTTGCCCACGGATCCGTCGAGCTTTGTGACTGTGCTCTGCTCCCCTTCCTCACATGTCTTCTAGCTCTCGGTGTGTCTGCACCGAGCCACATGTCTTCCTCGCCCGCAATCTCCTCGCTATCCAGAAGATTCTTTCCGGTAATCTTGCCAATATCTTTCAGGGTGCTCATCAGCCCCTCGAGAGCAATCTGTCCGTTCTCGACCGATTCTGCCACGGACTCTAGTGTTGCCATCTTGGCAGCGTCGGCAGCGTCCACCCACGGTTGTGCCTGGCTGACGAGACCAGCCTGCGATGCCGGGTTTGTACCTGATCGGTGGCGAGAGGCATCACCTTGGGGGAAAGTTGACAGCAGATCGCTTCCCTCGGCAGCTTTGCCAAGCTGACGGCTGTTTTCTTGGCTAGTCTTATTGAGCAGAGAGGATATATGCGTTCGGTATGCCACCGTGGCTTTGTGATTGGCAGAGGCATCGACGAGTGAGGCCAAATATGGCGTGAGGAGATGATCCATTGGCGGGAGCGGCGACGCCGCGTAACTCGTTCGCTTCGTAGCATTGACAATCCTCGACGGTGGTGGAAGCGTCTGCGATTCACTTGAAGCCATTTCTAATAAGACCTTGCGTGCCGAGACATAAAGAGTGTACTTTTCCTTGATATCGGCCAACTGTACCTGAATGGCCGCCAGGTCCGTCTTGCCGAGTCTAGCCCCCAACGAGCCGTCGCCCGTGCCATGTGCCTCCGGCGACGCCTTGCCGAGCTCCGTCTCAATCCAATGAATGAGCTCGTCCCGCGTCGCACCCAGCGCCATGAGCTTGGCTGCCTGGCTCGGCGGCTGCGACGTGCGATGCACGCGCTGTCTCGCTTCCTGCAGGAGCTGCTCCTCCTGCCTGAGGAGCAGCTTGGCGCGCAGAACGACCCTTTCAAGCTGGCTCACCTGACCGGGGATGTCCATCGGAGAAGAGGTCTGCTCAATGACCATGGTGTTGATGACGTCCCTGGGCACCGGGGGCAGAGCTGGCGTTCCCTGGAACATGCGGTCGGCGTCGAGAAACTCGGGGCCCGCCGCTGGCTGCTCCAACAGCGCATCGAGAGTCTCTTGCACCGCATACAGGCTGTCGCGCTTTTGGTGCAGCTTCAGCAGGGCCACTCGCTCTTCCAGGCCGAGCGCGACGGATCCGCCATCCGCCGTCCCCTCTGTACGCGGCTCCGGCAAATCATAATGTCGAGCCGCTTCAAATTCCTTTCGCGCGGCAATGTTATTCTTCACAGCGTCTAGGTATTCGCTGTATATACCGTGTACCGTTGTGCTATCTGTTTCGACAGTGCCATCGCCATCGCGCCCGTTTGCTAGGGCTAGCGACGACTTGATGGGACCTCCTTGCGCGCAATCACCGAGATGCGCGGCTAGTATGCGTCGAATATAGTTGACCTGTTCACGAGACTTGATGTATAGACTCAACTCATCCTCTATTTTCGCAGCGTTTTCATCGTTTGTTGGCATCTTGACGCACTTGCGTAGCTGTTGCAAAGTCGAAAGTGGCGCTGACACGCTGCACTTCACCATCACGTGGAGAAAGAAGCATTGCCGAGTTATACACAACAAATCACTAACAGTCGCGTCTGGCCAGTCCAAACGATATTGTGGTGAGTAAAAGAGCCTTTATGTTATGATAGAGTAATCAAATAAACTGATTACCATTAGTCAAGTCTGCGGTGCATTATAATTTTGTCGTAGATATTAGGTTTCGAGCACCTTTGTAATAGACCAGGATGTGCAAGTGGGTATGGGAGTTTCAGACCTCAATGCAAGCAAAATCCGGATAAATCAGGTTATAACTGAGAGTCATGCTTTATACACTGCCCAAGCAAGCTCGGAGTGGTCATCTATCCTGAAATTGTGCGTCAAAAGTGTTCAAACTGCAAAGTGCTGTGTGGCTGGCAGCAGCAAGGTCACCGAATTCGGAGCGTTCTGTTGTTAACGCGACTCCAATGACAAAGAGAAGAAGTTATACAGTAAGCGCGAGATGAGACCATAAAAAAAGAACCTATTAGGAATAAAAAGGCTCACGCGTCGGTATAAAACTATTCGGCTTCTTTTGCTGGTGACATTGCCCGTATGGGCTGTAGCAAGGTCATCTTCCTGCCTGGCTAGGGTACTGAGGTGGACGTACAACCGAAAGTCGCGTGAGAGGCGCTATATTCTTAGATTTGGGTAGGGTTTTGCGGATTCAAGATCCAAGTTTAGGGAATCTCGCTAGAAAAGCGAAGGCCCTCAGAAATAGTTATCAATATGTAGCGTTACTATCGCTCATAATATTTTGGTTTCAGCCTCAGCGCAACTAATGGGCAAGAGGTCTCCATGGATGCGGTCAAGAAGGCAGGCGCTTAACAATTTACTACTTGGCTATTGGTCATTCAGGATCCTCAGCAATTCTTCAATTTAGCAACGGCGTCAGAACCCTCACATTTGCTTATACTCCGAGAACCTCAGAAGAATGTCAAGTCTTCAAATAGAGCAAAGAAGCATGCCTCACACAACAGCAGCTGCCCCTCCTGACCACTTTGGGGTACTCATATCATGCCATTGCGGGTGGATTATAGAATAGAGCTTCGAGGTATAGTTCTGCGTGCCATTCATGGAACTCGACTCTGCTTGACGGGACTGTTTTAGTGCAAAATTTCTCCCATTATGCCGCGCTACGAACCGTCCCATGAACGTCGCATTCGACAATTTCCCTTTTGAGAAGGTCGTTTCAGGTTGAAAGAGCCAGGTTCATGGTTCCTACTTCAGACCAAAGTTCTCATTACAGAATGACTTGACTGCTCGAGTCCAGCTGGTCATACAGTTATATATATAAAGCGAAGTTCCTTTTCTTCTAGTCTGACTATCAAGCCCCTTTGTCAGCCTGCCTCTCTCTTTCTTTCTTTTCACCCACTATGTTTCTCTCATTCATTTTTGTCACGGCTCTTGCGGCGAAGCTAAGTTCCGCCACTGTCGGTGCGAATTGGTTATTCCCCGACGCTGAGTCAGGAAGCAATCTCATCAACGATGTCACGTTCCCCTTTGACTTGAGCAGGGCCCCTCAGCAGGCAGGCTTTTACTTTGCGCAACAGTTCAATTTCGACTATGCCGACGATAGCACCTACAGTGGTGCGCAACAGTTCTATTACGACTATAACCAGCCTAGTGCCTACATTGGTCTGCAGCCGCAGCCAAGAAACGCGAGCGGCAGTGTCATTCGTGCTGCCTTCTCCAGCTTCATTAACGGCACCACCACGAATTCGTCCCTATGCTATTATGGGGCAGACGGCGGCCCCGGTGTCAGCTGCGGCGTCGAGTTTAACGGTGATTACTCCCACAAGTACGATTGCGTCGCGGAAACGACCGATGGGGGTAATACTTGGCGAGGCACCGTGGTGAACACTAACACTGGAGCCTGGCACTCCATCGGTGAATGGACTCTGCCCAAGAAAGCGGCCGGTATTGGGCCGCGGGGTCTCGGATTTGCTGAATATTACTCGTATCCTCGCGATCAGTACAACACGGAAATTTGCAATGCCCTGCCTTCGACGGAAGTTTCCTTCTTCTCGCCGTCTAGCAGCACCAACCGCGCCGGTGAAGGGGTAATTGAGAAGCCGTACGAATACGGTGTCTGTGAACACAGGTCTGCTTTCAGAACTTGGGGTGTTAGTGAAGGTTACCATGTCAAGACAGGCTTTCAGGGCCAAGGTCGCGGTCATTGGTGGTCTTGGTAGCGTATTCTGATTTCATGGCGAAGACAATACATTCATTTCTGGGGCTGTTCTGCCATTTTGGAGTTCTATTTTCTTGCCCGCGTTGACTTTGTTTTTATAGAGTCTTGTTTCCATTCTATCACATCGTCCATCTTGTAGATTGTCAACAGTTGTGCTCACGACAACTCCTCATTCCCTGCAAGCTCAAAATCACCCAGTAATTGACCCAGAGAACCACAAAACTACCTAGCATCGCTCAATCTCCTTTTCAGCAATGCCCCGTGTATTTGTACAAGGCCGAGTCATTGCCAATCCATGGAAAGGGGAGGGGGTATTTCTTCTCATTTAATTCCATTTAAAGCCAGATTTTCAGACGAATATTTGGTTGTAAGTCCAAGCCGATGGCCCCTCAGCCCCTCCATGGACCAGCGAATGGCGCTAGACTGAATACGGTACTAGCGCCTCTGCCTGGAGTGGGATCTGAAATTTATCGGCGCGACACACTGTCCAGCTGCCAGCAGCTAAACAACGACTTTTCATTTTCCCAGCATTGACGCGCTGCCTGAACTCCTTTGTCCCGACGCGCATAACAGACCATTATCCAGGAAAGCAGCGCATGATTGATTAGCGGCCAAGCTCCGCGAGCCGCCGTCGAGCACATCGACGTTCTGCCTTCCTGTAGAGAGCTTCAACAACATCGCCACCATGTCGGAACCTCATCGCGATGTCTCCCAGTACAAGTACTCGGCCATGTCCAACCTGGTCCTCCAGGCGGACCGTCGATTTGTCTCGCGACGAAATGACGAGTCTACTGGTGACCCAGAGTCCCTCGCGGGGCGCTTGAGCATTCGTGACATGGGTGCGCGAGTCGCTCGTGACGAGGCGCCGAAGCAAAAGAGGCAACCCGGTTTACCAGACATTCAGAGAGGCAGCATTAAAGAAGGCCAGGACGTTCTTCTGCGCGAACAGCAAAAACGAAAGGCTGACAACGCCAACCTCCGAGCTACTGGCGTCCTTGGCGCAAACGAGCCCTTGGTAGAGGGTATCACCTACCGACCTCGCACCCTCGCAACACGTGCCACATTCGATTTAATACTCACTCTTGTCGCAACGACACTAGGAGATGTACCACATGAAGTCGTTCGAAGCGCAGCCGATGCAGTTCTGGAATACTTGAAAGACGATGACTTGAAAGATCTTGACAAGAAGAAGGAGATCGACGATATCCTCGGCGCGACGCTGAACCCCAAGCAATTCAACGAATTGATCAATCTTGGCAAAAAGATCACGGATTACGATGCTCAAGATGATGATGACGACGTTGCCATGGGCGACGGCACCGGCGACGCTGAAATCGACGAGCGTCAAGGAGTTGCTGTCGACTTTGACGATGAAGAAGATGAAGACGAACTTGTCCCTGAGGTCCGCGACGACTCATCTGATAGCGAAGATGAAGATGATGCCGACGAGAATGGGACACCGAAGCCAGAGACTGACGCAAAAGATGACGACAACGAGATGGTTCTCGATGCAGGTCAATCCGGTGGCAAGGCCGACAAGACCGACAAGGGCACCATCGCAGCCAGAGATATTGATGCTTTTTGGCTCCAAAGAAAAATTGGCGCTTTCTATCCCGACGCTCATGAGCAGACTGACAAAACAAAGGAAGCCCTCCGCATTCTGTCAGGGGAGCCTGACGATGCTGGCGGTGAAGACAGGTCTCTGCGAGAAATTGAGAATGACTTGATGGAACTGTTCGATTTTGAGCATCATGAACTTGTGCAGAAGCTTGTCGAGAACAGAGAGAAAGTCTTTTGGCTTACCAAGCTGGCCAGAGCCGAGAATGCCGAAGCCCGCGAGCAGGTTGAGCGTGAGATCGCCTCTGAAGGATTACAACACATTCTGAACGAGCTCCACGGCAAGACTGGCGAGGATGGAGAGCATAAGGGTATGAAGATGGATATCGACGTACCCGCATCATTTACAGCAAATCAGCAAAAGGAAGAAGCCACCGATGGCCGTCTTGTCGGTGGTCTTCAGCCGAGAAAGCTCATCAACCTTGATAACCTGGTATTTGACCAAGGGAACCATTTGATGACAAATCCCAAAGTTCGACTACCCGAGGGCTCTACTAAACGCTCATTCAAGGGCTACGAAGAAATTCATGTGCCACCTCCCAAGAAGCGCAACGATCCCGATGACGTTCTTATTCCAATTACCGACATGCCAGAGTGGTCACGCGCGCCTTTTGGAACTACTAAGTCTCTCAACAAGATTCAGTCCAAGTGTTTCCCTACAGCCTTTGGTGATGACGGCAATATGCTCATTTGCGCACCGACAGGTTCTGGCAAGACCAACGTTGCTATGCTCACCATCCTCCGCGAGATTGGGAAGAATAGAAACCCTGAAACGGGCGATATTGATCTGGACTCCTTCAAGATTGTCTACATTGCACCTCTCAAAGCCCTAGTGCAAGAACAGGTTGGCAACTTTGGCAAGCGTCTGGAGCCATACGGTATTCGAGTTGCAGAGTTGACTGGTGATCGTCAGCTCACCAAGGCTCAAATTGCTGAAACGCAAATCATTGTCACGACTCCCGAGAAATGGGACGTCATCACGAGAAAAGCCAACGATTTGTCATATACTAACCTGGTTCGTCTCGTCATCATTGACGAAATTCACTTGCTTCACGATGACCGTGGCCCTGTTCTGGAGAGCATCGTCAGCAGAACCATTCGCAAGACGGAGCAAACCGGAGAACCGGTACGTCTCGTCGGTTTGTCTGCCACACTACCCAACTACCGTGATGTTGCCAGCTTCCTGCGCGTCGATGTTGACTCTGGTCTCTTCCACTTTGACGGATCTTTCCGACCTTGCCCCCTGCGCCAAGAATTTATTGGTGTAACGGATCGCAAGGCCATCAAGCAGCTCAAGACAATGAACGATGTCACGTACAACAAGGTTCTAGAACACGTCGGCCAAAACAGGAACCAGATGCTGATTTTCGTGCACTCTCGGAAAGAGACAGCGAAAACTGCTCGCTACATCAGAGACAAGGCTTTGGAGATGGAGACGATCAACCAAATTCTCCGCCACGATGCTGGTAGTCGTGAGGTCCTTCAGGAAGCTGGCAGCCAAGCTACGGATAAGGACCTCAAAGATCTGCTGCCTCACGGTTTTGGTATCCATCACGCTGGTATGAACCGTATTGACAGAACTGATGTCGAAGATCTCTTTGCCAGAGGTGCCATTCAGGTTCTTGTCTGTACCGCCACTCTAGCTTGGGGTGTCAACTTGCCCGCCCATACCGTCATCATCAAGGGTACTCAGGTCTACTCTCCCGAGAAGGGTACTTGGGTTGAGTTAAGCCCCCAGGATGTATTGCAGATGCTTGGTCGTGCGGGTCGGCCCCAGTTCGACACATACGGTGAAGGCATCATCATCACCACGCAAACCGAGATTCAATACTACCTTTCTCTCCTCAATCAGCAACTGCCCATTGAGAGTCAGTTTGTTAGCAAGTTAGTCGACAACCTCAACGCCGAAATCGTGTTAGGCAACGTCAGGACACGCGACGAAGGTGTTGAGTGGCTCGGATATACCTATCTTTTCGTGCGCATGCTGCGATCCCCCGGATTGTATCAAGTAGGGGCCGACTATGAAGACGACGTGGCTCTCGAGCAGAAGCGTGTAGACCTGATTCACGCTGCGGCCATGGTTTTGAAAAAGATGAGTTTGGTCAAATACGACGAGAAGACTGGGCGTTTCCAATCAACTGAGCTTGGCCGCATCGCCTCGCACTATTACATTACTGCCAGCTCTATGGAAACTTACAACAACCTGATCCAGCCTTCCATTACCACCATTGAGCTTTTTCGTGTATTCTCGTTGTCAGCTGAGTTCAAATACATCCCAGTCCGGCAAGATGAGAAGCTAGAGCTTGCCAAGCTTCTCGGGCGCGTGCCGATTCCCGTCAAGGAGAGCATCGAGGAGCCCCAATGCAAGATCAACGTTCTCCTCCAAGCGTACATTTCACGCCTATCCCTCGACGGCCTTGCGCTCATGGCTGACATGGTTTACATCACCCAGAGTGCTGGTCGCATCCTGAGAGCCGTTTTCGAGATCGCTCTCAAGAAGAACTGGGCTTCCGTTGCAAAGACTGCACTTGATCTTTGCAAGATGGCTGAGAAGAGAATGTGGCCTACCATGACCCCCTTGCGACAGTTTCCCACCTGCCCGCGCGACGTTATTCAAAAAGCCGAGCGTATCGATGTCGCATGGGATAGCTACTTTGACCTCGACCCTCCTCGCATGGGTGAGCTTCTCGGAATGCCCCGCGCTGGCCGTACTGTTTGCAACTTTGTGGCCAAATTCCCCCGCGTCGATGTACAGGCCCAAGTTCAGCCTATGACCAGGTCCATGCTGAAGGTTGAGCTCGCCATTACTCCTAACTTTGAGTGGGATGATTCCGTACACGGTGGCGCGGAGAATTTTTGGATTTTCGTCGAGGACTGCGACGGTGAAGACATCCTTTTCCACGACACCTTCCTCTTGCGCAAAGATTATGCCATCTCCGAGTCAAACGAGCACATTGTCGACTTCACTGTCCCCATCACTGACCCCATGCCGCCCAACTACTTCATTTCGGTCGTGTCTGATCGATGGATGCACTCCGAGACGCGCATTCCTGTTTCTTTTCAGAAGCTGATTCTTCCCGAGAAGTTCCCTCCCCACACAGAGCTGCTTGAGCTTCAACCTCTGCCCATCTCTGCGCTCAAGACTGCAAGCTACATCAAGCTGTATCCCGAGTGGAGGCAGTTCAACAAGATTCAGTCGCAGGTTTTCAACTCACTCTACAAGACGGATCAAAATGTGTTTCTCGGTGCTCCGACGGGCAGCGGCAAGACTGTTTGTGCGGAATTTGCCCTGCTTCGCCACTGGGCTCAAGAGGACTCTGGCAGAGCTGTCTACATTGCTCCTTTCCAGGAGCTCGTCGATGCTCGTCTGCAAGACTGGCAGAAACGGCTCAGCCACTTGGCCGGTGGCAAGGAAATTGTCAAGCTTACCGGAGAGACCGCCACTGACTTGAAGATGCTCGAACAGGGTGACCTAATACTTGCCACGCCCACCCAATGGGATGTGCTTTCGCGTCAATGGAAGCGTCGAAAGAATGTACAGAGTGTTCAGCTCTTCATTGCGGACGATCTCCACCTACTGGGAGGCTCACAGGGCTATGTATACGAAATAATCGTGTCTCGTATGCATTACATCCGGACTCAGACCGAGTTGCCACTCCGAATTGTTGCCCTGAGCGTCTCTCTCGCCAATGCGCGTGACATCGGCGAGTGGATTGATGCCAAGAAACATGATATTTACAACTTTAGTCCCCACGTTCGGCCTGTCCCTCTTGAACTGCACATCCAGACCTTTTCGAATTCTCACTTCCCTTCACTCATGCTTGCCATGGCCAAGCCAACGTACGTTGCCATCACACAAATGTCGGCAGACAAACCGGCCGTGGTTTTTGTACCCAACAGAAAGCAAACAAGAAGCACAGCGCGTGATTTGCTGGCTGCCTGCGTCGCAGACGAAGATGAAGACAGATTCCTTCATGTTGATGTTGATCAAATGAAGCCCTTGCTGGACCGTATCCACGAGGAGGCTCTGGCAGAGGCCCTGTCTCACGGTATTGGTTACTACCATGAGGCGCTGAGCCAAAGTGATAAGCGCATAGTGAAGCATTTATTCGATAATGGCGCAATACAGGTCCTTGTTGCCTCTCGCGAGGTGTGCTGGGAGCTGACGTGTACCGCCCACTTGGTCATTGTCATGGGTACACAATACTTTGAAGGCCGCGAGCACCGATATGTCGACTATCCCCTCAGCGAAGTGTTGCAGATGTTTGGCAAGGCTCTGCAACTCTCTAATGATGGCCGCTGCCGCGGTGTTCTCATGCTTCCGCAGGTCAAGCGTGAATATTACAAAAAGTTCCTCGGTGAAGCTCTTCCTGTTGAGTCTCACCTACACAACTACCTTCACGACGCATTTGTGACAGAGATCAGCACCAAAATGATTGAGTCTGGTGAGGACGCTATCAACTGGTCGACTTTTACCTACTTTTATCGTCGTCTGCTTGCCAATCCCAGCTACTACGGTCTCACCAGCACAACTCATGAAGGCCTCAGCAACTACATGTCGGACCTCGTCGAGACGACTCTGCGCGAACTTGACGAGTCCAAGATTATCGATTTCGATGATGAGGATGGTTCCGTGTCGCCACAGAATGCCGCCATGATTGGCGCCTACTATAACATTTCATACATCACCATGCAGACATTTCTGCTGTCATTGTCGGCGCGTACAAAACTCAAGGGCATACTTGAAATTGTCACGTCAGCTACGGAGTTTGAGTCTATTCAAGTACGCCGCCACGAGGATGGCCTGCTCCGTCGCATCTATGACCGCATTCCCGTCAAGATGGCTCAGCCTACCTTTGATACTCCTCATTTCAAGGCCTTTGTTCTTCTCCAGGCGCATTTCTCAAGAATGCAGCTGCCCATTGATCTCGCCAAGGACCAAGAGACTATCTTATCTCGCGTTCTCAGCCTGCTAAGTGCCATTGTGGATATTTTGTCGTCTGATGGTCATCTGAATACTATGAATGCAATGGAAATGTCACAGATGGTTGTGCAAGCCATGTGGGATCGTGACAGTCCTCTGAAGCAGATCCCACATTTCGGGCCCAACGTTGTCAAAGTCGCGAACGAGTTTGGCATCAAGGATATCTTTGACTTCATGGAGGCTATGAATCCTGACGAGAATGCCGACTACAAGAATCTCATCAAGCGACTCGGCTTGTCTCAGAAGCAGCTTGGCGAGGCTGCCAATTTCACCAACGATAATTATCCCGACCTAGAGCTGGAGCATGAGGTCTTAGCGGAGGACGAGATCCGCGCTGGCGAGCCTGCTTATCTTAACGTCAAAATTGCGCGAAACCTCGAGGAGGATGATGGCGAATACGATTCGACGGTGCACGCACCATTTTATCCTACAAAGAAGATGGAGAATTGGTGGCTGGTTGTCGGCGACGACAAGACGAACAGCCTGCTCGCGATCAAGCGTGTCACCATTGGCCGTGAGCTGAATGTGCGCCTCGAATATACGGTACCTACACCCGGTAATCATGAGTTGAAGCTGCTGCTCATGAGCGACAGTTACGTCGGCGTGGATCAAGAACGGCAATTTTCTGTTACTGCTGCTGAGGGCATGGATGTTGATTCGGACGAGGCAGAAGAAGATGAAGATGACGAGTAAAGGAGCTCAAATATATTGGCAATGTACATTATAGTTAGAAAGGAGGTGAAAGAACATGCAACGTTTGGCTTTATGGTAGTTTTCGAAATGTCTTCCTTTTACGCAGTGGTGAGCGCGCGGGCGCTCAATCAGGGTATCCTGGCCAAACCACCACAAGCTAGTATCGTGGGTGTTGAGTGACGAGCGCTCTGTACATGTTGTCAACACCTATTCAAAACATTATTCCCAAAATACCGAGCCTGGTTGACGGTGCCCACAGCCAAGGCTTACTAGTTTTCTGGGGCCGCGCATGGTTCAGGCGCCCTGTTTGTTGATTCTCATCCTCACCAACCTCTCGGTCTCGGTCACCTTCCACATATAGCGTCACGTGATGGGTATGCTGTGACGTGAGAGGTGCTCGTCCTGGCTATCCCATCTGCCCAGCCAGACCGGCCGTGACCTTACTTCTGACTACCCACATCATACCTCAACAAGGGTGAGTCTACGAGCTTGGAAAGCGCGCATTTCATCCCGCCCAACCTTTCTACCATCGCGCAACACGCTTTGCGACTGCCATTGGATCAAGCTACACGCGCTCCCACACGCGTCACAACTCTCTATCCCGTCTCTCCACGCACCCTGGTTGAAGCTTCACTGTTGGTGACCTTGCACAAACCCCATCGCGATTCGTGCTTCTGCGTCGCCCTCAGCATCAGCTCTCTGCCAATTGCATATTTTCGACACGGCCATCTCAACAATGGCCGATACTCCCTCCAACGTCCCCGAGGTCGCTGCGCCCGTCGCCACCGAGCAAACGGCTACCACCGAGCCAATCGCCGCGCCATCTGGTGGCGAGGCCGCAGACGAGGCCAAGACTGCCGTGATCGTACCCAAAGAGGAAACAGAGAAAACAGAGGGTAAGTTTGATTGTGGTTTGCCATTTTACCGGCAGATTCTGCGCCAGGCTCGCGCATCCTGCCGCGCAGTGGATGATGCCGATCGAAACGAGGCGTCAGCCGCGCACCGTCGCTCATCGGACGCGCTGCTTCCATCAACAACCAGCACATATTAACACGACCTTGCAGATGCGATCAACACAGAGGATGGAGCCGCCACCGAGGGTGACGTCGACATGAAGGAGGCTGCTGAGGCCGTGCCCGCCGCCGTTGCGACCGAGACACCCAATTCGAAGAAGAACAATCGCCGCAAGTCTGTTGGCGGAGGACTGAGCCGAAAGGGTTCCAAGGCCCGCCTTAGCACGCACACTGACGCCAAGCCCGGTGACCACTTTCTGATGAAGCTCAAGGGTTTTCCCCCATGGCCTGTTATTATCTGCGACGAGAGTATGCTGCCTCCGGCTCTTACCAGCTCACGCCCCGTTTCCGCAGCCAAACCCGACGGCACCTATGCTGAGGCATATGCGGACGGTGGCAAACGAGTTCATCACAGAACGTTCCCTGTCATGTATCTTTATACCAATGAATTGTAGGTTGCTCTTGCGAACAGTTAGGTATCCGCACACTAACAAACATAGCGGCTGGGCTGCCAACACAACCTTGACCGAGCTCACGGCGGAAAAGGCCAGAAACTCTATCAACGACAAGATGCGCCAAGTACTGCGCTCTGCCTTTGAGCTGGCTGAGCAGCAGCACCCGGTCGATTACTACAAGGAGGAGCTCCAAGCATTCGAGGATAAACGTCACCTCGAACAAAAGCACCAGGAAGAGTACGAGGCCAAACAGGAAGCTCTCAGAAAGGAAGCTGCCGCGACGCCAAAGAAGAGCAAGAAGAGCAAGAAGGCTGAAGAAGATGATTTCGACATGGACGATGTTGACTCCGCCAAGCCCAAGTCTAAGAAACGCAAGGCCAACGAGACCAGCGTATGTACCCGTGTGCTTGAGATTGGTCCTTTGCTAATAATCTTCCAGACCCCCCAGCGCTCCGATTCTGTCAAAAAGCCCAAGATTAAGCTTAACACGTCTTCAACACCCAAGGCTAACGGAACCCCGAGCAAGAAGGCCGAGTCTGCCACCAAGCCGAAGTCTGACAAGAAGGCCAAGGACCTTAAGAAGGCCAATGAGCCCAAGATGACTCCGCAAGAGAAGCGCGAGCGCAAGCAGGTGCGTAAGGACGCTGCGGTCAACGAATGTGCGCTAACTATTTGTAGAAGGAAGTTTTCTTTCTCCGCCACAAGCTCCAGAAGGGCCTCTTGTCCAAGGATACACCGCCTGTCGAGACGGAGATGAAGGGCATGTCGGAGTACCTGACCGCTCTGGAGACATTCACGGATCTCGAGGCTTCAATCATTCGTGAGACCAAGATCAACAAGGTCCTCAAGGCCATACTGAAAATGGAGAGCATCCCTCGCGAAGAGGAGTTTAGCTTCAAGAGGAGGTCGCAGGGCCTGTTGGACAAGTGGAACAAGCTTCTCGCCAGTGCTGCTGCTGCAGCTCCTGCCGGAAACACTAATGGTGCCAACGGTTCTGATGAGAAAAAGGGCACGAATGGCGCCAATGAGGGCGCCACGGAGGCCAAGTCGTTGTCGGAAAAGGCCGTCGATGTGAAGGAGCAGACGGAGCCTTCTGAGCCTGTCAAGGCCGATGAAAAGACCCCCGAGGCAGTACGCGACTCCGTTTGATATACTGGGGCACTTCTAATATTCTATAGGTCGCAGCTGCCGAGTAAACGACGAACGGGGGTACGGCCTAATAAAATTCCCGATTTCTTTTGTTCGGCGCACAAGCAGACTTTTTTGGCTTCATGTTGCTGATTTTGATTTCTCCATGTTTAGTTTAGGGTTTACGGGGCTGGCGGGTTGGATGTATGATATATCACATTATGAGCTCTCTTTCGACATTGAAGCAGTCTCGAAAATGGTGCGAGCCTAAGCTGACGCTTCGGTCACTGAAAATGCCCAAAAAGTTTGAAGAGGCTAGAAGCAGTCGCGACGGTGTTGGCGGGGATATTTGGAAGAAGCGCTTTGGTCAATACTTATCACCGTATGATAACTATTCTTCATGCTCTGTCCGTGTGCGATGGCTACGAAAATACTTTATAAAGTTGCGAAAACCGCACGTAGACTTGCTCTTAATCCTGCCTTGTTCACGGGCATCCACAGTGTAAGCACGGTGTGGGACACTGTAGCATGAACGCGTCCCCAGTCGCGTGTTTGCCTCTCACTGAGTAGAGGCAGACACCAGCCAGTTCAGCACAATGGCTATTGAAGAAGACAGGACGGATGGCCCATTTAGCCAGGAGGATCACCAGGTATTTTATTATCCAACATTGGGTCAATGGGCTCGGAGACTGCGCAACGCAGCTTATTCTGATCACTCCTTAGGTGGCCTACATCTTCAACCCTGCAGACGGTGCGGCGGCGCGTCCAGCGAAACGGCGGCGCGTCTCCAGAAAGGGTGCAAAGAGCAAGGGGTCTAATCTAGGCTCCTCGTTGGCTGCACTGGGTTCTTCGCTATTTGTGCCGCTCCTGAACGGCGCAGAGAGTGCGGCGTGCGTGCAAGAGAGGCATCGCCTGTACGAGGAGAGCTGGGCCAAAGTTGATAGTCGGATACAGGTATGCCTTAATGGGCTGGATTGTGATTTGATTTGATTTGATCCGATCTATCATGTCGTCGTGGGAGGATGAGATGTGCTGACGCTGCCGCAGGCCATCTTGCGAGACTCGAACTCGGCGACGCTGGAGCAGGTGTCGTCGTTTGTTCGACAGGCAAAGACCGAGTGGTAAGCCGATACAGAACTTCCGTTCCCTACTGCTTCGCCTGCACAAAGGCACTGCAATATTTCTGGGGAACTTACTATTGCATACAGTGTGCCGCCTCCCTACCACAAGAGCTGGGCGAGGGGCTGAGGGAGAGACACGGCATTGTGGCTAACATTTTGCTGACAGCTTTGATAAAATTCCCACGGCATTCATTGTGACTGGGACAAACATTGCGTCACAAGACTTGCTGTTTGAGCAGCTGTCAGAAACGCTGCAGTCGGGTTCCAGCCGCTTCGTGAGGCTGCGCTCGACCGAGGTTGGGTCACTCAAGGCGGTGCTGAAGCGCATCATTCGCACGGGAACGTCTAAAGCCGCAGATGACGAAGAAGAGAATGATACAGAGGAGAAGGAGACAGATGTTCGTATTGCATATTCATTTTTCTCGTTCTTGGCTGACTGGGCAGGGTAAACGATATCTCGACTACGACTTGGAAGCATTGTATGCGTACGTCCAGACGCAGAATTGCGACCAGATTTTTGTGGCATTTCAGGACAGCGAGGGGTTTGACAGTAGCTTACTATCAGACCTGATCACGCTTCTAAGGTACGGTGTCTGGCGCAGTCTGCAGGGGCATTACTGACAGCAACAGCTCGTGGCGCCCGCGGATCCCATTTACTCTGCTCTTTGGCGTCGCCACTTCAGTGGAACTACTCCAAGCCCGCTTGCTGAAATCTGCGTGCCGCCAGATTTATGGAGGCCAGTTTGACGATGTGCAGACAGACACAATCCTGGAATCAGTCTTTAAGGGTGCGGTGGCTGCGAGTGACGTCCCGCTCCGGTTAGGAGGCCCCTTGCTGCGATGGATGCTGGATCGCCAGCGCGACCAGGTGGCTGGCATTCAGGCATTCATCAGCTCTTTAAAAGTAAGACTTGTTGTCATCTGCTCATCCGCATATGGCATCGGCTAATTATTCCTTAGTATGCGTACATGTGTCACTTTTTCGCCAACCCATTGAGTGTGCTGGCACACTTGGAGGCTGGGAAGGACAAGTTGATACAGCCAGAGCACTTGGAAGCCATACGCAACACACCCTCTTTCCGCAAGCATGTGGAGGGAGCTATTGAAACTGGTACCGCCGAAAAATTGCAGTACGCCCGGTCGCTATTGGAAGATGATACTGCTCTTCGAGAGCAAGTGCAAGCTAGTAGTTTGGAGGGTAGAGTGTGGATGGACGAGCGATTACGGAGCCTTCTTATGCTCGAGGCTGCAGGCGCGTATCACGGAGCATTTTCGAGAGCCTACGTGGAGGCCATATCCGAGGGCGTGGCCATGTCCGAGCACTCAAACATGGTGGCTAGCATAAGGCGTATGTGCATGAGTGAGCTGGCAAGAGCGATTGAGCGATTCGTGTCGCTGCTGCGCGATGGCGAGCCGAGTTTGGGACTTGGCCCCTATAAGGAGCCCGACGGAGCACAGATGCAGAGCCAGCTGGAGACGCAGCTGACAGCGCTGCGGGCGCTCACTCGGCACGCGGAAGCAGAGGGCATCAGTGTGCGTAGCCGGTACAGTGGTCAGAGCAAGGTGGCGCGTACGACGGTGATTGCGCAGCGCGTGCAGCTGAGCCACCACTCGGCGACGCTCAAGGACGAGGACAAGCGACTGACTGACATAATGGACGCCGTGACCGGCGTGCTGGCGGTGCGCCACGACGAGACAACACCAGGGAGCCTGCTGCTGTCGGAGAGCTGGCTGTACGACGCGCGGGCGCCTTCCAGGAACGTGTTTGTGCCGCGGCCGCGAGCCGTCTTTGAGCGCAGCTTGGCGCGGCCGCACGACTACCTGGCGTGCGAATGCTGCAGTCCGGATGGCGAGGGCCTGCAGGCGACGCTGCCGGCGACGGCGATCCTGTACCAGATGTATCAGGAGACGGGCAGTCTCATCAACGTGGCCGACATGTGGGCATCGTTTTACGCGCTGATCCGCGGGCAGGGGGCGGCCTGCGGGCAGACAGGGGAAGAAGATGATGGCGCCATGAGAGATGAGGACGAGGACGAGGAAGACGAGGAGAAGCAGAGGGAAGCGCTGGTGCTGTTTTACAGAGGGCTGGCAGAGCTGCGTGCGCTGGGCTACGTCAAGAGCAGCAAGAAGAAGACGGACCATGTCGCCAAGGTGAAGTGGCTGTAAATAGGGCGTCCAACGTGCTAATGAAGAAGCCGTATTCGCTACGCGTACGGATACTTGACATTCTTTTGCGGGCATATATGATGGCGAATGGGCAGCGGCATGTCATGACCGTTGCAGAATTGGTGGATGGACAAACGGTGAGGCTGTCGAGCTGACTGGGTCCCTTTATTTTTAAATCCTTTCCTTTCTTTCTTTTTTTTTTCTTTTGCCTTTTTCTAAGCGAGAATAAAAATAGACAAGACATTGGGAACCCAATGTTAATAATCCGTAAATTATCACAAAAAAGCCGTGTCTGGCTCGTCACAATGGTGGTATGTAGCGTCATGCCTGTCTCTCCATGTCCAAGCCCAAGGAATCTTGACGAAACAGGAAGCAGCTGAAGCCCGCGCGGGCTGGGGCCCCGGTGGCGGGGGGAGAGGTAAGGGGCCAAAAAAAAAAAAAAAAGCTCGCACAATCGGCATGTGTGCGGTTGGGCGAGGATCGAGGCGTCTACCGGGATGTGGTTTTCCTGACGTTTTACCAGACGTTTGATTTTTTTGCTTTTTCCATCTTCGCGTGGCGTTATCAGCTGGGGCTGCTCGCTTTCTTTCGCGTGGCTCTCCTCTCTCTCCCAGGGAAGGAAGGGGGAGGGGGGTGGGTGTACGTTACATGAGGAGAATTGGAGGGGAAAGCGGAAAAGCAAGGAACGCATGTTGCAAGGTCTATGGCAGGGTTTAAAAGGGAAGAAAAAGAAAAAGAAATAAATCAGAGACAAACGGCTCGGAGTAGCTATCTCGTTTTGGCAGTTCGTCCTTGGGTGCGTCAGTGTGTGCATCGGCGTATTATTTCAAGCTTTTTTGCAGACGTCATTTTGTCTGGCGTGTAAGTGAATCACGAAATTGTGTAAAATAGCATCACATACGGGACAGGCTTTCCTCAGCCAAAGGAAGCATTTTCCGTCTCGTTGATTTATGCATGACTGTTTCTTTTGTCTCTCTTCCTCCCTCCCTCCTCTCTCTCTCTCTTTGCCTTTGTTTTTCAAGAGAAGTTCTTTGGTGGCTTGCAGCCAGCGCGTGGTGGCGTCAGAGCGTGGATTTTTTTTGAGAGCATGGTGAAATGAGAGTGAGACATTTGACTCAAAAAGAGCCCAAAAATAGAGCAATTGCGAAAAAAAAAAAAGCCTCGGGTAGAAAAGAAAGTAGGACAAGAATTATTGAACAACATGGAGAAGACTCGTAAGATTTTGAGTAATTTTGGGCGTGGAGTTGTTGTATCAGTAATTAAATGGAGATGATGAATGCGGTGTTGAATCGGCAGAGTCGAGATTTGAATATCGAAACTAATGAAAACGGGCAACTAAATATTTGATCGGTGTCCTTTATTAGTGGCCCTTATTAGTGGCCATTATTGGTGGTCAAAGAATGACGAGACTGCCGGATGAAGAAGTTGGGCCGTGGGAAGTGTAAAGTGTGGCCCAACGTCAACGCCCCAGCGTCCAGGGATATGATGAAGAGGGGGGGCTTGATGCTCGGATTTATTTATACCAGAAACATGCATGGTCATTTCACACGTACCCGCGCTGCCGTTCTTTCTTGACCTTGTTCTCGACAAGGGTTGGTTGGTTGGTTGGTTGGTTAGTTCAACGCGCGGGTCGGGTAAGCAGCAGCAGGGCCTGCGGGATTGAATCGTCATGTCGCAGGGGAGTAGAGTAGAGGAGGCATGGGGCCAGCGGTCTTGTATCCGTCAACAAGTAAATTGCAGTGCTTAAAAAAAGAAAAGAGAAGAACGATGGCTGCCATGCTTTCGCCAAACTTGTTGGTTTCAGCCAATATGGTATCCACATTCCAGCCGCCCAGGCAAGTCGTGTCATGTTTTTACAGCTTACAATTTGGAAAGACTGACGGTGGTGGATATATTTGTTGGACACGAATCATGGCCGCGCTACTGCAAGCGTTAGTTGGCCAGATGCAGACGATGCAGTCGTCAAGGGGGACTTGTTGATGATGCAGAAAGAGACAATAGGACTTTTTTTTTAATGCAAGGGGCAAAGGTAAAAAGCTCCAAAGCCCAACAATGGCCTTTTGCGTGTGTGTCTGCTTGTGTGTCTGCTTGTGTGTGTGCACTGTGTGTGTGCACTGTGTGTGTGGCACGGAGCACATTCACCTGCGATGCACGATTACATTATGTGCATGCAGCCTGTGATGAAAGCTCTTCCATCAACACCATCAGTATTGGAAAGAATTGTGCCAATGGCAGTCTTCTTCTCTTCTCTCATGTGCAATTGTATGCAAGCGACAGACGCCAGGGGAGCATGGGAGCATGGGAGCATGGCCCGTACGAGGCAGAGCGGATACGCGCAGTGTAGATCCCCGGCGCATCCCACATCCCAACAACAATACCGAGTTACAAGCTCGGAGTATCTCCGTGCTGATGATTCACCTTGGCCTACGGTCCTACGGATACCTGTTTCGTTCTCTCTCTCTCATATCCCCAAAGAACCGTAAAACGAAACCAAAACAGCTCTCAACTCGATTTGCGGGACATGATGATAAGCTTGCCCCTCCCTTTGGATCCCCTTTGGATCCCTTTGGAGACAGTTTTTTTTTAGTGCTCTTCAGGCTCCAGAATGTCTCACTATCCGTCTGCGCCCGTCGCAAAAGAAAGTAAAAAAAGGGCAGAATGAAGATGCAAGGACCGAAGCCCCAGCTTCCACTACTGACCGAGTTGATTGCTTAGCGCTTTTGGGGGGGGTGTTTCTTTCTTCTCTTGTTACGGTGCAGAGGTTTTAGTTGCAGCCGGAACGGGTCAAGATGCTGGGTTCGAGATGGCTAAATAGATGCCTCGGCATGTTGCAAGTTGCAAGCCCGGGGCTGGGCAGAGGTTGGCAATACGAAACGAAACCGCCCAGAACCGAAAAAGGAAATGAATAAACAGGCTGTTATTGTATCCGTTGGTGACATGCTGGTGTCAGACAAGAGGCTTGCCTCTCAATTTTTTTTTTCTTTTAGCCAAGGCATTTACAGCATCGCATTTCGTAGAGTCATTGCTACCAGTAATTTTCCGTCTAATTTGCCGCGAGTAGCCGCTCACGTCGCTGCAGTGTATCTCATGTGCGACCCGAGGGCATCGTTACACCTAAATGGCAAAAAAAGGCGGCCGGCGGCGGATGACGTCCCCCCCCCCCCTTCCCACGGTTGAGACACTTGTGTTCACCAGGCAGACTCGGAGCCGGTGCCCCGGAGATCGCCGGCTACGCCAGTGCATATTGGGAATCAAGACCTTTTTCTTTGTCTTGATGTTTCTGCCATGTCATGCGCCAGCGAAAGATGATTCAGCCAACCAAACTAATGACTAGAAAATAAAAAGATCTGAGACTCGATTACAGAGTACACTGGCCAGACAAAATACTATTCCGTAAGCATGGACAGAATTCGAACAAAAAGAAGAAAAAGCAAAAAAAAAAAAAAAAAAAAAAAAAAAGGAAAGGAAACAAAGAGAGATCCTGGGGACCATGCGCATAATCTGCACGCGGCTTTCGATGCCGTCGCTAGGGGGAGGGGGGTGGTGGTGGACAGGGCGCAAGGGAGGGGGGTATGCGCTGTACGGCTTGCAGCCGAAGATGAACAATAGGGCAGGGGCTATTGGTGGTGGTGGTATTGTAGCCATGGTGGTTATGTGAAGGGTACTACAAAAAAAAAAGGACAAAAACAGACGCCGCAGATGACAATGATGAAAGGCGCGAGCGTTATGGCTAAAACGGGAGGTGATGAGACATTCAGTGGCAAGTGTGATGTGGTTGGTGTTGGGCTTCATTTGGCTTCCTACTGGTATCAGCGGGATATTAATGTGAGATTACGGTTACAGCCGACTTGTTAAGGCAGAAAGACGTGCACCAGCACTCGGTAGAGCGGGAGGGCAAGGATGGGCAAGAGATCAAGAGATGGGCAAGGAATCAACAGACGGGCAAGAGATCAAAGCACGGGCAAGAGATCAAAGAATGGGTAAGAGATCAAAGAATGGGCAAGAGATCAAACATGATCGTGGTTGGGCACAGAGGCCAAAGCATGAGCCCGTGCCCGCTAACAACAAGAGACAGGCATCGCTTGCAACTTTGTAGCATCCGCGGGGGACCACGACTCCAGATGGGCTTTCCAGAAACCTGGCAACTTGCAAGACAAAAAAAGGCACGTTGCCTTGCGAGCTGCGACGGAGAAACCCCGTCTTTGCGTCTTTTGGGTGCAAAGGGGCCGGTTTAGGTGTAAGAGGCCGACGCGGACCACTGTAATGTCTCACCATGACATGTTGCCCGATTATTCTGCGAGTATCCGTCAGACCGTAAACTACTCGGTCGATGAACTAGTGTTTACTACGTATAAACGAACAATACTGGGCGGAAATGAAGGTCTTGCTGGCGGTCTGTTTCATATGTCTAAGGATGGACATTTGCCGGATGCCGGGGGAGGAATGGAGATGAATGTTGATGCCGTTTTGCTATATTTGTAGCCATGTGGAAATTTCCAAGACATGGAAGGTTCAAACGTTGGGATTTTTTCAATATTAAAACACCCCCAACACACATCACACACGTACAAGGAAGGACACAAGTCACGCCGCAGAGTCGCAATCACATGGTTGACTTGCAGCTGCAAACCATGCGGCGGCGGAGGCGGGAGGCGGCGTCGTTCTTGCAGTGCGAGCGGGCAGGCGGGCGGGCGCGGATGGTGGAAACGGCCACGCTGGTGATGTGCGGCCCCCAACCCGATTTTCTGATTGGTCTGGCGCGAATAGTCCTTCATGTCGAGAGAAGGCGGAGAAGAGGAGATAAGAGACGTGGGATAGGTGAATGGCCTACATGGATGTTGTGGATATCGGTGGTTGGAGCTGATGCCAACTAACTTTTAGTGTAGAAGAAGAGGAAGGAGGAGGAAGAGGAGGAGTAGGAGGAGGAGGATGTGATGCAAGACTTGCCACATGAATGGAATCAAAAAAAGAGGTTAATGGGACAATGATGATTCATTGCAGGGTGAAGAAAAGAAGCAAAAACTAATATAACAAGACGGGGATATAAGAGATATAACCACACAGACAGGTTATCTGAGATGTGAGGCAGTTCAGGTGGCAGATGTCTGTTTGGCATTTGGGGTGTATTTTCTCCGTAGAACATCTGTGCCCGTCAGAGGTCTGGCGTGCATGAACCGGCGGAGCAAAGTGGCGGCGCCGTAGCATGTAGTCGTTGCTTTTTTTTTTGCTCTTTCCACGATTTCAGCCTTTTTTTTTTTGCAAAAGAAGAAGGGGGGGGAGAAAAAAGAAACAAGCGGTCTACGAGGTAGGTACTCGGGAAAATGAAATCGGGCAGCTGCATCATGTTGCTCGCGGCCCTGCATATACGGGTGACGGGTGGTGAGGTTGAAATACAAGGTGACAAAATAATGGCAAAAGGACATTATGTGCTTGGGTATATCAAAGGAGAGATATACGAATAGTGAGGTGGCTGTGATGCACGAGTAGTGGCAGGGCTGGTAATTTACCATTATTCTAGTGGTGAAGAAAAATTAAAAAAGGATAAGAAGAAGTCATCGTGGCGGGGAAAATGCAACTGATGGTAAGAAAAACTGATATTACTGGTGGTAAGCATAAACGTCTTACCACTGCCTGGAGGTGGGTAGAGGCTGGGACAGTGGAGAAGAGGCGCTAAAGAAAGGCTGGAAAGCGCTGTGATTAGTGGAGGTGTCGCTGCAATTAGAGAGTCTACCGCTGTAATTCGCTGTAATTACTTGGAGTCGGCAACGCTATTAAACCGCCAATCCACTGGGCACCTTGGCATCACATCCACAAGCGCTAGCTCGCTGGATGCAGTCAGTCTCGATGGCCCCTCCCCTCCGTCTCACC